GGACTGTGTGTGTGTGTGAGAGAGAGAGAGATAGGCAAAACCCTTGTAATCAAATAGGCCTAACTAATGTGTGGCTGTTTTGGTGCTAAGCAGAAACAAACCATTATAAATCATCACTGTATGGAAAACTATCTTTAAAATGAAAGGAATAAAAAAAATCAAACATGGAAAACTATCTTTAAAATGAAAGGAATAAAAAAAATCAAACATGGCTGTAAATAATGCAAATAAATTCATTATAAAGTAAACACAATGAACTTAGATATAAATTAGGATATAGGTCTTTGATAGTTTTATATGTCAATGCACCAAAGTTGGCATCATCTGATTTGGAAGTATTTGTTATATAAATGGTTTTTGGTTGTTTTGTGCTGTCCCATTAGTAAAGAACTAAAAATGCATCGTGGTTTGAGTCTCATTCATTTAGAATCAACCAAATGATTCGAAAAAAGATTCGTTCGAGAATTCGAACGGGAGAGTCACGAACGCGCATCACAGAACGAGCATTTGAGCTTATAAAACTTAAACTTTTTTATTTATTTTTGAAATGACTGATCATTTCACTAGATAAGACCCTTATTCATCGTCTGGAATCGTTTAAAGCCCTCTGAAGCTGCACTGAAACTCTCATTTGGACCTTGAACTGTTTGGACCCCATTGAAGTCCATTATATGGAGAAAATCCTGGAATGTTTTCATCAAAAACCTTAATTTCTTTTCGACTGAAGAAAGAAAGACATGGACATCTTGGATGACATAAGGGGGTGAGTAAATTATTTGCACGTTTTTTTTAAAGTAAACTACTCCTTTAATTATATCTATTTCACACAAAGTTGTTCAGAGGGTCTTATCTAGCGAAACGATCGCTCATTTAAGTTTTATAAGCACAAATGCTCGCCTTGCTCTGTTCTGTGATGCGCGTTCGTGACTCTCCTGTTCGAACTCGTTCATCAAAATGAACGAATCTCTTTCTGAGTCATTTGGTTCATTCAACGAACGAAACGAACGAATAGACTCGGAAAAAGATTCATTCATTTTGAATCGTTTAAAGCCCTTTGAACAGTTTGCACTGAAACTCTCATTTGGACCTTGAACCGTTCGGTTCCCATTGAAGTCCATTATATGGAGAAAAATCCTGGAATGTTTTCATCAAAAACCTTAATTTCTTTTCGACTGAAGAAAGAAAGACACGGACATCTCTGATGTGAGTAAATTATCAGCAAAAGTTTTTTTTAAAGTGAACTACTCCTTTAATGCAGCTTAAGATAAATGTTTTCTATGTGAATATATTGTGAAAATGTAATTAATTCCTGTGATCAAAGCTGAATTTTCAGCATCATTACTCCAGTCTTCAGTGTCACATGATCCTTCAGAAATCACTCTAATAAGATGATTTGATGCTCAAGAAACATTTATGATTATTATCAATGTTGAAAACAATGTTGAAAACTTTCCAGGATTCTTCGATGAAAAGAACAGCATTTATTAAGTGCATATGACTGTGCCGGTGCAATACACTGATGCGATGGAGACGGTCTGTTTTAATAAGGATCATGATATCTGCTGAAAGCTTCGGCCACAAACACTGTTCTCAGAGAGAATCCGGCTCATTGCTTTGTTTCTTTGGGAATATAAATATTTCCCTCTCCATCCCATTTCAGCGAGCATGTGGTCTGATTTTTCCCCGGAGTCCCGGGCCCTGTTGCCCAGTGGTGTAAACCGTACGGCCCCTGGGGGAGTTGGCTGAGGGGCTACACGGAGGCCCTGTTGATTTCTGTTTGGCCTTTCTCTTCCTCGGGCCGGAGCGGCGTGTCACATTAGAAAGGTTTATTTTCCTACATCAGAGCAAAGCACATCATTCGTCACTCGCCGAACCTGAGAGAAAAACACAGAGAGAGAGACGGTGACCGAATGACTCCACAAGCAAAACACACACTGCCATCATTCAACCCGAGTCTGATCACAACTTCTGGCACATGCAAACTCCTTCTACCTATTGTGTATGTGCAAAAATGCTTTTTCTTGGTAACACTTTATTTTTATGGTCCCTTTTGAACATAACTTTTGCAACAACATGTCAACTAACTCTCATTAGAGTATTAGTTGACTGTCTGCTTGATATCTGCTAACTCGTTCTTGTGATGCTCCTCCAACAGACAACCTACTGACTATAAGTAACTTTGCAACTAAAACAACTGGATTGTTTTAACCCAAATTTGGGTAGAATATGGACAAACCCAAATGTTCACTGTAAAAAAAGATCTGTTCAATTTACGGTAAAATACCGGCAGGTGTGGTTGCCAGAAATTTACCGAACAATATACAGTAGCAAGACTTTACGGTAGCAAGGTTTTACTGACTTAAATGAACATTTACAGAAATAAACCGTATTTCATTATCTGATAAAATGTTAATTTACCGATATCTAGCGAAAGGATCAGTCATTTCAAAAATAAATAAAACATTTTAAGTTTTATAAGTTCAAATGCTCACCTTGCTCTGTTCTGTGATGCGCGTTCGTGACTCTCCTGTTCATCAAAATGAACAAATCTTTTCGAGTCATGACTCGAAGGGTCCAGATAAGGCCCTTATTCATCATCTGGAATCGTTAAAGCCCTTTGAAGCTGCACTGAAACTCTCATTTGGACCTTGAACCGTTTGGTCCCCATTGAAGTCCATTATATGGAGAAAATGCTGGAATGTTTTCATCAAAAACCTTAATTTTTTTTCGACTGAAGAAAGAAAGACATGGACATCTTGGATGACATGGGGGTGAGTAAATTATCAGCAAAAGTTTTTTTTATTAAGTGAACTACTCTATTTATTTCACACAAAGTTGTTCAGAGTGAGTAAATGATGAAACTTTTGGAGAACTATCTTTTTAAATACAGGTTTATATCTTTCTACATATCCCGAGAAATCACAAAAGATCTCTTTAATACCTCAATTGTTTCTCCTGAGATTAAAAGCAGAGCAAGTGGAGATTTGAGCTGAAGTCGCCTGCGTTTCTCCTGAGAAGATGACCCACATGTGAGCGTCTCAAACTGTGCTCAGATCTGCAATCCACACGCAGTCGTCTCCATATGAACTCAGTCATGTCTGATCACATTCACATTAGTTACAACCGTTCAAATGTTTGGGCACTTTCTGAAAGAAATAATTAAAGTGACAGAACACTGTAACATTTATAATGAATATAATGATTGTTTTAGGAACTTTCTTTTCGTCAAAAAATACACAAAAATAGGAAGCAGCACAACTGTTCTCAACATTGATAACAATCAACAAATCCTCACACACGAATGATTTCTGACGGATCATGTGACACTGAAGACTGGAGTAATGATGCTAAAAAATTCAGCTTTGAACAAAGGAATAAATTGCACTTTACAATAGAAAACAGCTATTTTAATATTCACAATATTACTGTATTTTTGATCACGCTAACGCAACCTTGTAGAGCTTCCTTCTGAAACTTTTAAAGATCTTAGTAACCCCTAACTTTTAGTGTTCATTCACATTCATAAAAATAAAGGTTCTTTATGGCATTGATGTTCCATGAAGAACCTTTAACATCCATTTAATCTTTCCATTCCTTTAGATTAGTAAAATTGATTTTATAAGAGTTATTTTAAGAATGTTTAACTTAAAGGTTCTTCGTGGAACCCAAAATGGTTCTTTGAAAAGAACAAAACACAAACAAAAACATTTTTAACAGTGTATGACAACTATTGTGGGCCTGTTTCTCTATCTTCAGGAATTTTAGGAGAAACTTCCATTACATTTCCTGAGCTGAAAAAGAGCAATAACATTTTCCTCAGGGAGAAGCGTTTTCATGTGTGTTCATATCATGCTCTTTATTGCTTCAATCATATCAGGCCGGTGTGTGTGAACACACAGTGACCCGGCGTTGGTCTGAGAGAATGGAGTTGGTTGAGGGCTGCGGCCCCTGACTGAACACAAATAAACACAGATCTGGACTGCGGCTCCCTGAGCACAGCGAACACACACTCCTCTGAAGAACAACATCAATCACTGGTACAGCAGCCAACACACACACACACACACACACACAGATGATGCGCATTCCACAGCACAGCAGTCTCTTCATTCACCGACTGTGAATGAGGCACAAACAAACACAAAAGAGTGCATGATTAGAGAGTCATTAGTAACTTTGAAGATGCAAATGTAAGGAGAATTGAGCAACTCTGCATTATAATAATGTATACGTGTAGACTGACCGCACCATCATTATCACATATTTATATGCACTTATAAAAAATGCATATGTGTCTGTGTTACTGGACAGATAACTGGACGGACAGATATATATTATTCTCTTGGTCCAGTCCAGTACTGTTGGCCACTGTCTTCAATTTCCAGTTTACAGCAACACTGACCCCTGCTGGCAGGGACACACTGGGAACATCATAGAGGCAGCTGTATGCACTGTAAAAATGAATATGCTTTATCTAATCAAAAAAATTGTGGCAACAGATTTGAAGGAATATTATTAAAGGGGACATATCATGCTAAATCCACTTTTTTAGCCCTTAATAAGACCATTTTGTTAGATGTAAACAACACTGGTCCAGAAACACTTCCTGTTTCAGTTTGTAACTGTTTTCTTTATTTCACATATAAAGAATTAACTTTAAAAGATTAACTTTTTGATTCAGTTTTACATGTTCTGTTGGTTGTATTTTATCCCAGCTTTTGTGTAGTGTTAAAAAACTGAAACAGGAAGTGCTTCTGGACCAGTGTTGTTTACATCTTGCAAAATGGTCAGAAAAGTTTAAGTTATTCTCTTCAGGCGTTTCGTTTATATCTTTATATTCTGTTTTGGTCATATTTTTCACCCTGTTCAGATTTTTCTATTTTGTATGACGTTTTATGAACAACTACGTCACAGCATTTGCAGCGGAACTGCCAAATAAGGACATTGACTACCGGCCCAACACTTCCTGGAATCCGCCATTATTATTTAACGAATCTCGATCCGATTTTGTAGTCCAAGCTCAATGATGCAGAAGTTACGAGAGGGCAAGTCAAAATGCTCGGTTGTTGGATGTATTGACCCACAAGCTTCGTTACACCGTCTCCCAACATCAGAACCTCTTCGAAGTGCCTGGTTGAGTTTTATTTACCAAGGAAATGTTCCCACATCTGTAAGTAAAGTCATTTTCGTGTGCGCGAAGCACTTCAACGATTCCAACTTCAACAACCTCCGCCAGTTTAAAGAAGGGTTTGCCGATCGACTTCGTCTAATTGAGGGGTCAATTCCTTCTATCTATGGAGTCGACGAACAGAGCACTTCGGTAAGCTATGAATAGCCGATCTTTAATTAGCCTAAATATAACGTTAGTTTACTTACTTAAAACACATGTTGGTCATGGTTTAGCAGTACCTTTGTCTTTCTTTGTTTTTTGTTTAGAGTAACACGTCTGACAATGCAGTATTATTGTTCTTGAGTTTCATCAATGGTCATTTAGCTGCTGCATTTATTATATTATCAATAAAGTTTTTTGTGGTGAGATTAGACTTTAGTCATTTATCTTGTTAGTGTGATTGTTTTAACGAGAGAAATAACGTTAATCGACTTTGTTTCACTTTATTTAGAAGGCTAAACCAACTAGTCACAAACAAACATTTGCTAACAAAGGCTGTCAAACAAAACCCCCGAGGCGCTCAATTGGGACACAGCTTTCTATGAAAACACTCCAGCCTCATGTCAAAAGTAAAGGTTTGTAAAATATGTGGTAACTGCTATATGCTGTACATTTTATAAGGCTGCATAATGATTATTCACGACTAATCGTTTGTAGAATATTTTTTTGTTTAATTACATCATGTGTATATGTAAAATATATATGTAAAAAAATATTTTTATATATGAAGTATTTATTATATAATATAAATTATGTTTGGCTGCATAATGATTATTCACGGCTAATCGTTTGTAGAATATTTTTTTGTTTAATTACATCATATGTGTATATGTAAAATATATATATAAAAAAATATTTTTATATATGAAGTATTTATTATATAATATAAATTATATTTAATAACAATATTTGGTAAATGTTTGAGTCTGCACTTCAACTACTAAGTTACCTTTGCACGCACACATGCTTTCCTGTCCTCCACACCAGTTAAGCGGGGCCGGTTGCTTGATATTGAGGAAGAACTCGCACCAATAAAGAGACCCTGTCTGGAGCAGACCGAAGTGGATGCTGACTCTACAATGATACAGAGCCCACATGATCCAACCTACAACCCTGAGGACTCCATAAGTGATACTGAACACATGTAAACATAACACCAACAGTAAATGTTTTATACTGACTCTGTCATGATCTAGTTTTGCTTATATTTATGTTTGCATGTTGTGTTTTTTTCTTTTCTTCTATAGCACGGACCCTTCTACACCGACCTACAAAATGCGTACTTATATTGTATATGAAAAATGCCTTTTACAACTTTTTGAGGTGTGCCCGGTGTGTCAACGAGGGACAAGGGTGCGGACAAGAACACATGGGACTTTTCTGTGTGTAGAGCAGCAATGTCCACAATGTGATTTTGTAAGAAAATGGAGTAGTCAACCACTACATGGTGGCACCCCAGCTGGGAATCTACAGCTTTCAGTTGCTGTGTATTCCAATGGCGGCTCATTTTCCAAATTGGAAAAAGTACTAACTGTACACTCAATGCTCTAAAGTTGTTACGGCTTAAATATTGGCATATTGGAACATATTTGTTTTTGCTTAGATATTCCGAGCAATGAGGCTGCAAATGTTCCAGCGCAACACCTATAGACGGCATGCCAGACTTTACATAGAGCCAGCTATTGTACACAAGTGGAAGTCAATGCAGGACGGTATAATGGAGAAGCTTAAAGCACAAAAATCCATACTTGGTGGTGACATGAGGGCTGACTCTCCAGGTATGTACTGATCCTTCATTATTATGCTTACATTTTCGTAACAACTTGTGAAGCCAGGGTTGATGCAACTGCAAGTAGTAATATTTACACTTTGTATCTCAAAGGACACGCTGCAAAGTTTGGAAGCTACACAATGATGGATCTGAGGAGCAAGAAAATCATCGACTTACAACTAGTTCAAGTAATTATAAATAAAAAAAATAAAAAAAAAGATTAAACCACATTGAATAATGTTTTTTTGTACTTTCAGAGCAATGAAGTGGGTGGAAGTTATAACATGGAGCTCGAGGGACTAAAACGCAGCCTTGGTGTTTTGAATGCACACAATCTACCTTTGGAGTGTATTGTCACAGACCGGCATCCTCAGGTCCAAAAGTATTTAAGAGAAGAAGCCAAGATCACCCATTACTACGATGTGCGGCACATAGAAAAAGGTATGTTGATGATGAAATTATAACTACACTGGAAAAAATATTTTCAAGATTTGTTATTACAACATATTTTCTTTTGTCAAATCAACTTTATATTAATTTATGTAGTTGAGATAACTTATTATTTTGAGTTTCTGGTGATTAAATTAATCTCCTTCATTGTATTAACTCACTTTTTCCAGTTCAATCAACTTAAAATTTTAAGGCAACCCAGGTTACTTACTTTTTTAAGTTAAACCAACAATATTTTTTTACAGTGTAGTAATCACAACATTTTTTCTTTTGTCAAATCAACTTAAATAATTTATTTAGTTCAGATAACATATCATTTTGAGTTTCTGATGGTTAAATTAATCTCCTTCATTGTATTAACTCACTTTTTCCAGATCAATCAACTTAAAATTTTAAGGCAACCGGTTACTTACTTTTTTTAAATTAAACCAACAATATTTTTTTACAGTGTAGTAATCACAACATTTTTTCTTTTGTCAAATCAACTTAAATAATTTATTTAGTTCAGATAACATATAATTTTGAGTTTCTGATGATTAAATTATTCTCCTTCATTGTATTAACTCACTTTTTCCAGTTCAATCAACTTAAAATTTTAAGGCAACTAGGTTACTTACTTTTTTAAGTTAAACCAACAATATTTTTTTTACAGTGTACGTTTACTCAACAAATATGTGTGTTTTTAGGCCTATCCAAAAAGATGGTAAAGGTAGCTAAAAAAAAAGATTGCACACAACTGAGCAAATGGCTTCGCAGTATAAAGAATCATATCTACTGGACAGCTGCTTCCTCAACTACCCCGCAGGAAAGAGTAGCGAAGTGGACCTCCATTCTTAACCATGTGCTAGACATTCACATACATGATGATCCTGCATTCCCGCAGTGTTTACATCCACTGGATAAAAAAGACTGGTTAAAACCAGGTGACGATTTCATCAACTTTTATTTACTTTTATTTAATAAATTATGAAGGCTGTTAATTTAATTTATATTCGTTTTAGCTACACCTGCATTCTACCAGCTGGAGAACTTGCTTACATCCAAGAGGATTCTCAAGGATGTCGAAAAACTCAGTCCCCACTTGCAGACTTCAGGTGTTGAAGCTTTCCACAGTGTCATCCTGCTCTTTGCCCCAAAAACCAATCACTATCCTTTCCTTGGAATGCTGTGCAGGTAAAATATATTGTGAATCGCTCAGTTCACTTTTTGAGTGAATACACAAGAATATTAAATTAGGCAAGCAAAATTACCCTAAGACCTCAGAAAACATTAACCATGCCAGGAAAAACTGTTTCAATAAATATTTCATTCTACATGCACTAAATGTCCCAATCAACACCCAAACCAGAGGGGCACTGCATTTGTGTTTTTATTTTGTTCAATGTTTGTATTCTGAGTGTTTTCATATAACCTTTAAATGTATTATGTTGTTTGTTTGTTTTTTTTTAAATATATATATATATATTAGATCAGTAAGATTTTTTATGTTTTTAAATGAAGTCTCTTCTGCTCACCAAGGCTGCTTTATTTGATGAGAAAAAAAAATTACAAACAGTAATATTGTGAAATATTATGACAATTTAAAATGACTGTTTTCTATTTTAATATATTTTAAAATGTAATTTTAAAGCTGAATTTTCGACATCATTACTGTTGCTGATTACACATCAGTTTTCAGTGTCACACGATCCTTCAGAAATCATTCTAATATGCTGATTTTATGCTCAAAAAACATAAATTATTATTTTCAATGTTGAAAACAGTCGTGTACCATCCCCCCCCAAAAAAAAATTCTATGATGAATGGAAGTTCAAACGGACAGCATTTATTTAAAATATAATCTTTTCTAACATTATAAATGTCTTTACTGTAACTTTTGATCAATTTAACTCATCCTTGATGAATAAAAGTATTTTCTAATTTCTTTCCCCCAAAATAAGAAATAAATTCTTACTGACCCCAAATTTTTAAATGGTAGTGATAAATGTTACAAAAGCTTTCATTTCAGATCAATTCTGTTCTTTTGAACTTTCTATTCATCAAAGAATCCTGAAATAAAAATGTAAATAACAGTTTTCAACATGGATAATAATCATAAATGTTTCTTGAGCATCATATAATAATCTCTGTAGAAACATGTGACACTGAAGACTGGAGTAATGATGCTGTAAAATCAGCTTTGATCACAGGAATAAATTACACTTCACTATATATTCACATAGAAAACCACTGTTTTAAATTGTAATAATATTTCACAATATTACTGTTTTTTGTTGTTGTTGTATTTTTATCAAATAATTGCAGCCTTGGTGAGAATATATATATATGAAGAGTTCAGATGCAAAAGCCTCTAAGTGCCATTTGAAATTTTCTCCTAGAATGATCATTTTTATCAAGCTTGTATATTTAAGTTCAGTGATTTCACTTAAATGGCAATGATAATTACATATTAATTGTTATTTAAGTGAAATTACTGAACTTAAATATACAAGTTTGATAAAAATCATCATTAAAGAAGAACATTTCAAATGGCATTTAGAGGCTTTTGTATCTGAACTCTTCATATATATATATATATATATATATGTATATATTTTTTTTATTATTCTTTTAGGCTGTACCTGGCAGGAATGCACTTCAATGAAAATTCTGACCGTCTGCAAGCTACCACCACACATGGAGAGCCCATGTACAGAATGTCTTGCCCCAAATACAAGAAGGGAGAAATAACTTCTAAGCCCATCAAAACACCAGCAACCCTGAGTAAGTCCTTTAGAGACTATAAATCTGTATGATTTAAATTAATCAAAATCATTGCAGCAGGATTTTAATAGCATTTAAAAAAAAGTTTTATTTATAACATAATGACATTCTCATGCAGAGTAATAACAATTCAACCAAAGCCACACAACACAAATAAATAACTGAAATGGCACTAGAAATGGCAGTGCAATAGAACAAACTTAAGCAAAATAGGTTATGGAAGTTATTTTCTGTCATTACAGATTATGTCGATGACATCATGGAGCTGGTCTTTGAACACGTTTTCCCAGACCCAACTCCATATATAGATGAGATAGAAAAGATCCATATCCCACAAAACCTCTCATCTCAACATCCACGACCAGACAAGGCAACAGTGGTCTCGGCTTACGTCTCCCGCTTCAATCCAAGACCGATCCCTGTTCGTCTGGAAACTCCTGCCTTATCCTCAAGACCACACGAGACGGCAGGACAACACACACTTTCCGGCCCAGATATCCCACAAAGCACCTGCATGCACAATACCTCTAACGACTAAAACACAAAGTGGACAAAGTTTAGTTTGCATTGAAAATCATCACAATGTTTTGTTCCTTTGAATTTATAAAATTTGTATTTCAATAAACGTATAAAACAAAAATTAGCTTACTGTGTCAGATGTAACAGCCCATATTGTGCCTTCAATGTTGACAATGTAATTAATTTTTGACGTCTCATGTCTGTCTGTTAGTGAGATATTTTTGTTAAGTTGTTTGGTGTAAACTTTACTCATTTTAAATGGTTAACTTTTAAGGAATAATTTGATTCTAATTTGTTAAATTTAATTAATAATATTGCTTGTAGTCTGTTGCCACAATTCTATTGATTAGATAAAGCATATTCATTTTTACAGCGTGGTTTTAGTTTTTCTTTTTAAATAATAATCCTGGATCACAGGAGCCAATAATATTCGCAGTACTCAAATGCTTTTGAAGGGCAACTGTAGATTAGATTTGTAAATGAAAATGAATATTCTGCTTTTTTCAGCACTAAATAAACTTGCTGACATTCAATCAATCATGCAAGACTAATCTTTTGACTGCTCATGTGATCTGAAAGAAGAAAACTGCATCTTGAAATACTGATGCATATATGTAATGAATTCTGCAAAACATATGACAGTAAAGATGCAAGAAATAATGCAAGCCAAATGACAGACAATAAATCAAGCACGAATGTGGAGTGTATACATCCTGTAAAACTTGTTAATTTGAATAATAATAATAGAATTGCACAAGAATGGTTATTCATTTTTTTTTTGTTAAACATAAAAATAGTCAAAGAGTCACTTTGTCTGACAGTAGACATTGTGTGCTTGACCTAGAAACTGTGAATTGGTAATTAACCCGCAAATGAAAACTGGTTGGAATGCATTAATTAGACTCTCCTCTGCCCGTCTCACGGTGAAGAAGAGCTTTGAAAGCTTTCCGTGTAATTGATATTGAGAGAGATCATAAAGTCAGTCTAAATCAAATGAAAACGGCTAATTGGCAGAGTTATTACATTCGGAGTCCATCATTACCAACTACATTCAATAAAAACTCTTTACACTTTCCCTTTCACACGGTAATTGGATTCTTGATGAAGAATGAAATTTCTAGAAATGGTCTTTTTTTCAATCAAAGCTTTTTAATTGAAAGTAAATCTTTTTTTTTTCCCCATCAAAAAGCTCTTATATACATCCCTGGGTGAAGAAATAGGACAGATGCGACATAAAGAGCCGACACGTGTCAAACAGGCTGCAGAATCACTATTGCTATACAATCAGAGAGTGTCCATCTATCGTGAATAATAATTTGATATGAAAGATGGACGGAGCCTGTCAAACTTTTAAGCTCAAAAAAATCTCCTACTAATAACGCGAATGACTGCAATTGCAGATTTCGAACAGAGAGGGCGAAAAAGAGGAAAAACGCCGCACTGCAGCTTTAAGATCCAAACTAAAAGTTTGTCTTTACATAATATATGCGTGTGTATAATTAATTTCTATATATAAATACCCACACATGCATGTGTATACAGTATTTAAGAAAAATGTGTTATTAATATATCAAATATTTATAATTTTTATTGTGAATAAATATATATAAAATATATACATGCACATATTTCTTAAATATATACATGCATGTGTGGGTTATATATATATATACAGATTAATTATACACACTACACACACATATATTATGTAAACACAAACTTTTATTTTGGATGCGATTAATCGCTGCCCATCCCTATTTTTAACTAATTGCATTACTCTAAAAATAATTGTTATCTATTCTGTTTTGACTACATATACTTGTGGTCAGCATATGCATGTTTGAGAGAGTGTAAATTAATAAATAACCATTAAAATGATCAAAATTGACAGTGAAGAGTTACAATGTTACATTTGATTTCTGTTAAACTAATGCTGCTCTTTTGTACTATTCATCAAATCCTGAAGACTGGAGTTATTGCTGAAAATGTAGCATAGGCCTAATTAAAATGAAAACCAATTTACTAGGTCCCACTTTATATTAAGTGGCTTTAAGTACTATGTACTTACATTTAAAAATAAGTACAATGTACTTATTGTGCTTGTGTTGTATTGTAAATCACTTTAGCTGTTATTGAGGTGTGATACGGGTAAGGTTAGGGACAGGTGTGGTGGTATGGGTAGGTTTAAGTGTAAGGGATGGGTCATCTGTGTAATTAAAGATGTAATTACATAAATTAATTACATGCTGGTATTTTTAAGTCCATTGTATCAAATTATTAATTTCAATGTAAGTACATGGAAGCCACTTAATATAAAGTGGGACCATTTACTCTATTTTAGATCAAATAAATGCAATCTTGGTCAGCATAAGACACCTTTAACAAACACAAATCTTGACAACCCCATGCAAACTGTATTAGGATACATGGGCCTATGGTTTTGCAATATGAGCTCTATGCATAACACTTGGTTGTTTTTCTTCGCTGTGAAGGACACACGCAATGCTCCTATATAATGTATCATGCCGTCGTCCTTCAACAGCCTTCACGTGCCTCTAAAACTGCACATAGGTGGATTTTTACTTTCATTTAGTCAATAAACCTAAAACACCTTTTTCCAAATGACACAGATACGAAACAAGAAGAGATGTCTCCAATGCACAATAAGCACACAGTCCGCGGGGAAAAGCCCAGCTGCGATGCTGTAACAAAATCACTTTAATAAAGGGTCTGCGCTCGGGCCCCTCCGCGGGATTATGTCAACCTTAGGGCCAAAGCTCCGGCGCGAGTGACAGCATGCAAACGGCCGCGGATAATCACTGCGGGAGGGGAGCGCGCGCCGAACAGCCCCCGAAACACGCCGCGCGCTTGCGTCTGATGCGACATGACTTCTGCTATTCTTACTCGCGAGCCGAGGACCGCTGGCGGGCGGTGGCGTGATGAAGGCTTGTCTGACATCGCAGTCTTCCTCTTTGATGAGCTCCGGGCTGTGTGAAAGGAGAGCATCTTCTTCTTCTTCACTCGCAGTCACAGCTGCTCGGAGTGAAGAAGCGGCCGCAAACAACGCCTTCACACGGCCAGCAGCTTCAGTTCCCGCGCGCGCCAAAACGTGCTAACATTAGCACTGCAGCTACAGAGTGTGTGCTGGATAGTTTCTGTTTGGAGTGTGTGTGGTCCTGGTAAACCAACACTATCTCACGACCAATTCGTACGAATTCGACGCATGATTAAAAAGTGTCTAATTCGTGCTAATTCGTACGACCTCACTCGTACTAATTCGTACGATTTGTCTAAACCCACGTGATGGTTAAGTTTAGGGGCGGGGTAAGGGGTAGGTCATTCGTATTCATACGAATTGGCCAATTCGTAAAATATGTACGATTTAGCAAAATCGTATTAATTCGTACGAGTGAGGTCGTAGGAATTGTTACGAATTAGCCACTTTTTAATCATTCGTCGAATTCGTACGACTTTTGTCGTGAGATCGGGTTGGGTAAACCGCGGAAATCCTTGTCCTTGTGAGGACATCTTAAAAAAAACAGCTTATAAATCATACTAAGTTATGTTTTTTTTGAAAACTTAAAAATGCAGAAAGTTTTGTGTGATGAGTAGGTTTAGTGTAAGGGGTGTAAATATATGTACAGTATAAAAGCATTCTCTGAAAGTCTCCATGAAACATGAATAGCGTGTGTGTCTGTGTGTAGCCTACCTAATTAACTATATTTTGGGGACAAATTTTTACCCAGAAGTGACTAAAAGCTTCCTTTAGGGAAGTCCTAAAATGTAAATCTGGTATAAAAAAAAAAGTAATTTAAGGTTTTTTTTAAAAACGTAAAAATGCAGAATGTTGTGTGTGATGCGTTTAGGGGTCGGTTTAGTGTAAGAGGAGAGAATACACAGTTATAGTTTATACAGTATAAAAATCATTATGGCTATGGAAAGTTCCCATAAAACATAAATGCACAACGTGTGTGTGTGTCACTGCCACACACACACACACTGTGTGTGTGTGTGTGGCAGTGACAGACAGGACCCTGAAATGTGACAAAGCCTTAGGCCTCACGCTGCTAATGTGAGAGAAGCGTTATGAAAGGACACTGAGCTAAGACTATTAAAATCAGTTCGGTTCATTGAAATCAAACTTAAAAAAAATACTATAAGTGTTTTATAAAAAACCTTGAACTTAAAAAACTTTATAATTAGCACTAGCTTGGCAACTAGTAACTGAAATAAAAATAAAAAAAAACCTGGAAAATGAACAAAACTGAAATTAAAAAATCTAAAAAAAAAATACTTTAAAACCACAAACTAATAAAAATGACAAAAGCAAAGAAATAAAAAAATGAACTAATTTAAAAAAATATTAATAAATATAGCTCTATAATATATAAATAAAATAAGGGAATTATTGTCACAATGCATACAATCTTAAAGGTATAGAAAAATAGGCTTCATTTTATTTAAGATAAATATGCTTTCTTATTGTTGGCAATAATATAATATCATATCATATAATATACATCACCCCCCCCCCCCCAAAAAAAAAAAATATTTGTACACTTCAAAATGCATGAATTATTTTTGCAAAATAAGTGTCTTTATCACATGACCGCATCTCACTTCATTATTAATTTTAAATGTTTATTGACATGTTGGATTTCTGCATGTTTGTAAGATTATTATTGGTTTTAAGTGTAAATATAACAAGAATGGATAAAACTGTGGGAATTGCTTCCCTGGAAAAGCCTCAAGATATTTCACAGTGCGATGCAAAGACATAGTGTTGAGTTGCTGGAGAACACTGATGTACAGGCGTCACACACTGGTGTCTGGTTATTATGGGACACACTGGTGTCTGGTTATGGGACACACTGGTGTCTGGTTATGGGACACACTGGTGTCTGGTTATGGGTAGGGATGTCCCGAGTCCGAGTCATTTGATTTTGAGTGTCTACCGATACCGAGTCCTGATCTGATACTTCTATAATATACACAAAAAACAATAAAGAAGAGTGAAAAAAAACAGATTCAGATTCCAGGATGTTCCTTATTTTTAATGTAATTCGCCTTATTTTAACATTTGACAACTCTGTTAACAAACAGAGCACTTCGGTGAGGTAGCTTGAACAATCAGGTAATAAACATAAATTCTTCACTTTTGGACTTTAGTGCAAAAGTTTATATTTAAAAAGTCTAATATAAAAACAAATAGCACTCATTACGATCATTTGTGCCATCTTGGCTGTGATGTCCTGTGCCTTTGTGTGATTGAGTGAGTGAGTGTATATATGTGTGTGTGTGTGTGTGTGTGTGAGAGAGAGAGGGAGAGAAAGAGAGTGTGTGTGTTTGTTTGTGTGTGTATAAGAGGTGGGTTAACCCGCGGCTCTGTGAACAGTAATGAACTCCTCTACATGTGGGAATACTGACACTAGTTCTCGCTCTCCATTTTTCAGGACCATTTGTTTAATTAAAAGAGCACTTTTTCCAGGAATTAATTGTTGGCTGCTGCCGCTGGCTCCACTCTCACACGGGCTGTGCTGCGATGACATTCAGCTGACGGCTGTGTGTGTGTGTGCGTGTGTGTGACAATTATAACATGCAAAATGCATGAGTTACTTTTACCTATGTGTGTTTGTTGTTGCTTTTTTACATGCATGTACCATAGTAAAACTGTTATTCTTTTAAATTCCTAAAAGTACTATGCAATCGTTCAGATTAGCCATTAAACCATGTGGAAAATATTTTAAATATGAGGAAGGGAAGCACAACACACTAAACTTGGTTGAGATACTTATCTGACAAAATTATTTAGCAAAAAAAGGCAAACAAAGTCGAAACCAAATGTTGGGTTAAAAATGTAACCCAACGGCTGAATTTGTCCATATCTGACCCAAAGTTGGGTTGAAACAACCCAGCAAGAGTGCATGCTGTTCATTTCTTGTTGAATTATTGTCTCGTCCTCCCAGAGCCAGTGAGTCAGTGTCACTGACTGACGGTGAAGGACAGAAAACATTTTTTTTTTTCATTTTAATTGCTTTCAGAGTTTCACAATAGAGTAATTTCAGAATGAACAAAGCATCCTCCACTGACCTGTCCTACTTATCCTGTGTTAGAGTTGAATTCAAATTACCAGTGTAAATTAATTTTTTGATATGTTAAACAATTCCCTGCATACTAATATGGCACCATTTTATTACTATAAAGTATGTTCATGATACAGTAATTAAATGGAACTGCCACCTTTTTAATATGAAAAAGGTGCATGAACAGGAACATGTGTAATCATGGTTTCTGTTTGATAGAGAGAATCAACAGAACTAATCTATCCATAAAAAACACATTTGTGATTCTTAATGTAATTGGGCTCTTATTTACATCATTTTTGTTATATTCACTATCACCAATTGTTAAGAAATTGTATAGCCTTTATATATATATATATATATATATATATATACATATATGAAGAGTTCAGATGCAAAAGCCTCTAAATGCCATTTGAAATTTTCTTCTTTAATGATGATTTTTATCAAACTTGTATATTTAAGTTCAGTAATTTCACTTAAATAACAATTAATAGGCAATTATCATTGCCATTTAAGTGAAATTACTGAACTTAAATATACAAGTTTGATAAAAATGATCATTTTAGAAGAAAATTTCAAATGGCATTTAGAGGCTTTTGCATCTGAACTCTTCATATATATATATATATATATATTACATTGTCATCTTTGGGTGGGTAACAGTAAAAAAACAGACAATTTATTTTTTCCACTTCATATTCTTTGCCGTTAACCTTTTCAAACAAACACAAATACTAATTTAATTACTAGCTAATCAATTCCTATTTGTTTCTAATTTTTATTTTACAACTTCTAAAATAGGCATACAAAAATATAACATACAACAAAAATGTGGATAAAAGAATTAAAAATTGCCATAACTAACAGAAGTCATATCTATCCATCTATCTATCTATCTATCTATCTATCTATCTATCTATCTATCTATCTATCTATCTATCTATCTATCTATCTATCTATCTATCTATCTATCTATCTCACAAAACTGTCAGCTGTCATTTTTGATGGAGGTGGAAATCGTACTCATTCATTTACTGTAGATGTGACAATATAAACTTCCTATAACAATAAATGACATATTATTTTATTATCTGATGGTGTCGAGTCGACAGATATAGAGTCGAATAAAAGCAGATTCAAACAAACACCTGTCAACAAGTTAAACCGACTCACCTACAATAATTCCTCGATACCGGGACGTCTATTTTGCACTTCTGCGTGTGTTTTTTATCCCACACAGTTTCACTCTTGAATCCATGAATCTCATGTGACACACGTGTAGTTGATGAGCACTGAGGGATTCAGCTGATGCGACACTCCCATCTAGAGGCAGTGGACAGAACTACAAGCAGAAGAACAAAGATTTAAAGGGTTAGTTCAACCAAAAATGATAATTCTTTCATTATGACTGTAAGCTTTCATTTACAGCAGAATATTGATTATGTCAATTATATATCTGAAACAATACTTTACAACCAGTTTATTATTAGCAGTATTATAACACATTATTATGTACGATGGTGATGAAGGAGAACGTGTCTGGAGAGGCTATAAGCCAATTTAAATTTTAATCGTGCGCGTTCCTCAAAAAATCAGTTATCAAAATTTTGGCCTAATAGTTAATTTACTTTTAAAACTTTTATGTATATTTTTGTTTACATAATTTTTATTCATATTATTAGGTCAATTTATTCGTTTAATTTTACAGCACTTTCTGTATAGACCATTTCACAAGATGTAAACATCACTGGCCCAGAAGCACTTCTTGTTTCAGTTTTTTAACGCTACATAAAAGCTGGGATAAAATACAACCAACAGAACATTTAAAACTGAATCAAAAAGTTAAACAAACATCTTTATATTAAGATGTTTTCTTTACATGTGAAATAAAGAAAACAGTTACAAACTGAAACAGGAAGTGCTTCTGGACCAGTGTTGTTTACATCTTGTGAAATGGTCTATAGGCTATTTCCACTGCCACTGGGAATGTTGTAAAGTCGGATCTATGTTTTTATTCACGTGTCACGTGATTCATTCATTTACACACATGTCCCACCCACTTTGTGTTACGCCACTGGTCTATCGTCATATCCGGTCGCGGCCTCGGTCAGGAGGAGTGGTCTTCTCTTCTTCATCCTGGAAGAAGGGTGAGCGAGCAGCGGAACCGAAAACATTAAACACCAGTTCAGCTACCGAATTAAACTACACTTTCGCATCCAGAGATCGAAGTGAAACCCATTAAGTGTCTCTACGCTGTGAATGGATCATGGAGTGTGTAAGTAGTGTGAGATTTAACAGTTAATGAGAAAGAGTTGATCTGACAGATTCAGTCTCCTTGAATGACGCCGATAGACAGTTAACTAACAGCGGGTTTTGTTCAATTGTGTTACGAAATTCAAAAAATGGCTAATATCTGTTAAAGTGTTGAGGTTGCGCCTTAAGTGTTATTACAGTAGTCCTGTGTAGTAGACTATTTCTTATTCATATGAAGCCAGTGATATTTATCCTGCGGTCAAGTTTAGTTATGTGCTTCTACATACACGTTTAAGTTACTGCTGTTTACCTTACACGTTTACTGTTGTTACACTATAACTAGCTATGTTGACACGTTTACTGTTACACTATAATAACTGTTTGTTTACGTTACACGTTTACTGTTACACTAATGTTACACTAGTACCATGTTATTAACACATTTATTGCTTTTACACTACTAGTACTAGGATAACACGTATACTCCTGTTAACATGTTTACTGTTGTTATACTAGTATCATTTACACGTTTACTGCTGTTAGACTAGTAGTAATATGTTTACTGTTGTTACACTAGTACCATGTTATTAACACATTTACTGCTGTTACACTAGTACTAAGTTAACACGTGTACTCCTGTTAACACGTTTACTGCTGTTACACTAGTACTAAGTTAACAGGTATACTCCTGTTAACATGTTTACTGCTGTTAAACTAGTACTAAGTTAACAGGTATACTCCTGTTAACTAGTTTACTGCTGTTACACTAGTACTAAGTTAACAGGTATACTCCTGTTAACGTGTTTACTGCTGTTAAACTAGTACTAAGTTAAAACGTGTACTCCTGTTAACACGTTTACTGCTGTTACACTAGTATCATGTTTACATGTTTACTGCTGTTACACTAGTACTAAGTTACCACGTGTACTCCTGTTAACACGTTTACTGCAGTTACACTAGTATCATGTTTACATGTTTACTGTTGTTACACTAGTACCATGTAAACACACTTACTGCTGTTACACTAGTACTAAGTTAAAACGTGTACTCCTGTTAACACGTTTACTGCTGTTACACTAGTATCATGTTTACATGTTTACTGCTGTTACACTAATACTAAGTTAACACGTGTACTCCTGTTAACATGTTTACTGTTGTTACACTAGTACTAAGTTAACACGTGTACTGTTGTTACACTAGTACCATGTTGTTAACACATTTACTGCTGTTATACTAGTACTAAGTTAACATGTGTACTCCTGTTAACATGTTTACTGCTGTTACACTAGTACTGTGTTTACTGTTGTTACTCTAGTACCATGTTTACAAGTTTACTGTAATGTTACACTAGTACAGTTAACAAGTTTACTGTTACTCTAGTACTTTGTTAGTTTACTGCAATAACAATAGTCGCTGAGACTCTAGTACCATGTTAGTTTTCTGTTACTCTTTACACTAGTGCTGCTTTCGTTTGCTCTTGCTGGTGTTAGTACAGTATTTAACATAACATCTTAACAAAATGTTCGGGTTAGTAATTTGTCAAGTTTCCAGTGATATCTGACAGCTTTCTCAGTTATTGGTTAATCAAGTTAATAACAAGCAAAGCAGTGGACTAGATGGAGGAACAGAGCTTTAAAAACAACAGTTTATTAATGTGTAAGAACCTGCAATACTTCGATACGAGCAGAACTGTTCTCCCATTAACTTACCTGGCTAATGTGTATTTTACTGACACATTATAGCCTTTTGCTTAGTTTAGTATAACAACTCTAATTCATTGTTAATCAGCGAGAACTCATCAGAAGAATGATCACATTAATGAAAAATTGCACATTTTGGAAAACCTAAAGTTTCAATGTTAACAATGTGACATCTGTTTTTCAGGTTCCTGCTGTTCTAGATGAGTTGGATGGTAAAAAGGAGGCGCACACAGAGGGTAAGCGTGTGAATAAATAAAAATGAGACCGTAGTCCTGCGAGCAGGGGTTTGACCTCTCTGTTTGCAGTGAAATCTGAGACTAACGTGAGAACAGAAACGTGATCCAGAGACACTTTTCTCTCAGATTCGTATCGGTTGTGTTTTAATGCTTGTTCATGTTTTGTTTTAGACCGTGCAGTTTCAAGCAATAAAATTGTGAATTATCTCTTTTTATTTTCCTCTCTCTATCAAAGCAGATCCTGAGTATAATGTGTACACCCGCTTCATGAAGTCCCACCGCTGCTATGACCTGGTGCCCACCAGCTCAAAGTTAGTGGTGTTTGACACTTCTCTCCAGGTGGGAACTCTGAAAACAAATGTTGTTCAATTTGCAACTTTGCTTACAACCAATTTACTTCCATATGTGACACATTTCTGTGTGAAACAATAAAAATGTTGGGCAGCACTAGATTTTACCCATCATTAGTTAATAAGATAATGTTAAGGAGCCATTGCATACCAGTATAAAGCCAGATTAAATGTGTATTTATTACACTGTATTTATTATTTAATTTACACTGTGCCTAAAAGGTCTTTTGGCTGTTTATGACATTGTCCCCCGGTTTCACAGACAAGACTTTAAGATAATCCCTCACTTATACTGGCATATCTTAAAATACATCACTGTCATTGTATTGTCTTAAGAAGATGCACACCAGTAATGCTTGTTATAAAAGCTACTTAAATGTCCTAAGTAAACTAAAGCCCTGTCTATTTATACGTGTTATCAGTATAAGCTCTGTTATTTAAGAGGAAGAACTTTTTGATAAGAAAATGATATATAATAACACAAACAATACTTATTTGGAATAATGTGCACCACTGAATAATTAATAGGCACATGCATTAAGAAATGGGGTCAGTATTGATTTTGCGTTGGATTTGTTTGCTCTGTAATCCGTGTCAACATTCATGACATTTTAAACCGTCCGAGTGCATGCTGGTTAATTTGTGTTTGGATGGTTTCCAGGTGAAGAAGGCGTTCTTTGCTCTGGTGTCTAATGGGGTGAGAGCAGCGCCTCTCTGGGACAGCAAGAAGCAATGCTTTGTTGGTAATTATGATTGATTGATGACATTAAAAGGCTTTCATAATATATTTAACTTGCATAATGCAACACATTTAAGGGAAGAAAGAAAATCACTGCAGGCAGAATGTGCTTTCAGTAAAATTTGTTTTCTTATATAGAAGAAAATAGAGCATTTTTTTTATTATGCTAAAAAAAAGTACTTGCAATTAAATAATTAATGCACAGTAGTAGGGCTGGACCAGAATATTTGAATATTCGTTCGGTGGGTTGGTATTCGATTTGAAAATGTGACATTCGAATAATTGTTGTTGTTTTTTTTGCACACCTGACATCCCACTCTAAAGGGTTCTCATTCGCGCTTGAATATATTTTACACTATAAAATCTGGTGAAATATAATACTTAATAAATATATTTGCTTCTTCTTGGACTATTAAAAGTGTTCCTGCAACGGGAGTATTCTCCGGCTAGAGCGCAGAACAGCGGAGTGTGTGTGGACAGAAGTGCGTGCCTGCGCTTGTATTTTGGGTTAAGCTGCGTTGCGGAAAATAGAATAATAGAAACAAAATGTATTACCGTTTTACCCGTTATTATCAATCTAAATTAATCTACTGCGAGACTTTGATTTCACAATTTCGTTTTTCTTTATTTAAATTTCTTTTTTTCTATACTTACGTTCTTCGTTTTTTTATTATGATCATTTTTATTTATTTAAATTTCGTTTTTATTCATGTACCCCTCAAACCGTATTCACTTTATAGCCCTTAATCCTGTAATTGTGGACAAATGTGGGCACAGAGGACTCAAGTGTGATCCTAATTTTTATTTATTATAAATGTTATATATCACTGTCTTGGATAAAGTTTTGTCTATCCATTTATGGTGTTTTTTTTATTTATTTACTTCAAAAAGTACCATATTTTCTATGCATATTTTTATGTTTTATTTTTTTATTTTTTTTTAACTACATTAAAACATCATTCCAATAAGTTCTTAGAGCTAAAACCTAAAGATGAAGTGACTTTGCTGTCACCTGGTGTCTTATTTTGGCTTATTTTAGAGCGCTCTAAATTACAGTTTCCCATTCATTTCTATGGGTGCCCATTTGACCCAAATACAAGATTAAGGAGGGTTTTTTTCCACACACTGAACATTGTAGAATTGAGTCAAAAAAAAAAAAGTGTGTGTTCAGGAGGCAAACTTAGGAAAAGTAGCCAAGTCTTGTACCGCTCAGATCAAGGGAAGTATTTTTTAAAAATAAATCAAAACTATTTTGCCCACATTTGTCCACAATACGGTTTTAGGGTTAAATTTCGTTTTTAAGTTTCATTTATTTAAATTTCATTTTTATTCACTTAAATTTTGTTTTTATGTTTTATTTATTTAAATTTCGTTTTTATTCATTTAAATTTTCGTTTTTATTCATTTAAATTTCTGTTTTATTCATTTAAATCTACCCTACTTTGTCAGTGAGAAGACTACTTATTAAAAATATTGCTTAAGTTAACTGACCTGTGTATGTGTGTGTTTTGCAGTGTCCGTTCTCGGTGTGCTGATACTCTGCTCGTACTTTGCTGTTCTGTAGTTTATTAAACGTTTATTAATTCTGAACGTGTCGGGTCTCGCCTTTCGATCTATATTGCACCATATAGAAATTCCGAAGCTTCGAATATTCGATGTTCATTACTACCGAAGCTGCGAAGCTCAAAAAATGGTATTCAGACCAGCCCTACACAGTAGTAACAACAGTTTAAAAGTAGTTCTGGTTCAACTTATGTATATACTCTTTTTGCTATTGTAGGTATGCTGACCATTACAGATTTCATCAATATACTTCATCGCTATTACAAGTCTCCTCTGGTAAAATTCTCTCCTGCTCATGTTAAAACTGTTATTCTCCCATTGAAGTTTATTTTGAGAAATTTTCAACGATTTCATGCATTTTTCTCGGTTTTAGGTCCAGATATATGAGCTAGAAGAGCACAAAATAGAGACCTGGAGAGGTGGGAGTAATGTTGACGTGTTCATGATGTCGATGCTCTGGTGTGTGAGCCTATGACGTCACTGATCTGTTGTTCTTTTCTTAATTATAGAGGTCTACTTGCAAGATTCCTTCAAGCCTCTCGTGAGCATATCGCCCAATGCCAGGTAAGAGTTGTAATTGGTCCAGGCAGATTGAACGGTTTTGACAGAGAGATGTCTGATGTTTTTTTCTCTCTCTCTCAGCCTTTATGATGCAGTTTCATCTCTACTGAAGCATAAGATCCACAGATTACCCGTGATTGATCCTCTAACGGGAAACACACTCTACATCCTGACACACAAGAGGATCCTCAAATTCCTGAAACTCTTTGTAAGTCCTGCCTAATAATCGCATGCAGTGAAGCTCCGGCATTCATTTATTTGTGAACCCTCTGTCACAGAGTTGAGCTGTAATTGTGTCACAACTGGAATGGAGCAACTACTGCTAAACTTCCTGTGATGCTAATTTTCTCTCCCAGATATCTGAAATCCCCAAACCTGCGTTTCTGTCTCAAACGCTGGAGGAGTCGAACATCGGGACGTTTCACAACATCGCAGTGGTTCACGCCGATACGCCGCTCTACTCCGCGCTGGGCATCTTCGTGGATCAGAGAGTGTCCGCTCTCCCTGTGGTGGATGAAAATGGTAATAAATAAATTCAAAATATACTGTATTTTATATAAATTGCAAATCTGTGATTTAGTTTTTTCCGTCCCCTCTCATTCGATCATTGTTTCTCCCTCTCGTTTATGCCGACAGGACATGTGATTGACATCTATTCCAAGTTTGATGTTATAGTAAGTTGTGTGTGTTTATATCTCTTGTTTGAATCTAGAACAGCGGACATTATGCATGTAAACGTGTTAACAGAATTGATATTTGGACAGAAATATATTAATTTGTTAACCCTCTGGGGTTGTTCGGCCCAAATGGACCCGAAGAATTTAAATAATTTTTTTTTTTAATCACAGCTTCCTCGGAATGGTCCGAAATTTGGTGACTTTGTTGATATTTGGTATTTGAAGACCCAAAAAAATTGGGGACAGGATGTGAATAGTCTAAGTGGTTGTAAAAAAAATAGTCACACTTGGGGTGTTCGGGTCCAAATGGACCCACATGGAAAATGAATGGGAAATTGGCAAAAATGTGAAGTTTTTTTGTGCGTACAATCACAAATCAGCAACGATCTTGAAAAAAAGCACACAACAGTGAAGGGGTGAATCTATAAAAAATCAAGAGTGCAAAACAGACACATCCAGACACACATACACATACACAAACACACTTTTATACACAAACACACCAAAAAATTCAGATTATACATGTGTTGCATTTTTAAAATGCTCAGTTTGTCCACCAGATGGCATCCATCTCATTTCAAAAATTGCTTTTATGAGGCCTAGGCTTGACTCTAAAATGAAATACAGCTTTAAAAAAAATAAAAAAAAATATTTTTAAAAAAAATAATTTTTTATATAATGTTCAATGGGGGGAAATTTTGTCATAATTATTGCATTAATTATGATTTTTTTTTTTTTTGAAATTTTCTCAAAACACCAAAAAAGAAAAGAAAAAATATTATAAAAAACGAGTAAAAAAAAAAAATCATGATTTTTGTTTTTTTAAATATGAATCCCGCCCTTTGGGTCCATTTGGACCAGAACACACCGAGTGTGACTCTGAAACGAACAACCCCAGAGGGTTAAGGCAGAATGTATAAAGCTAAATTCAGTGGAATTCAATGGCACCCGGTGGCTATTTTTGGTACTACGCCCAAACAAAATCTCATGTGAACAACAATTTTTGTGATATCAACTTCAAATTTGGAACAGAACTTGGTTCGATATATGGCTTTGATTTTATAGTAATTGTAGAATAAAAAATATTTTGTAAAATATGTATTTTATATAAAATATACAGTACAGTATATTTGATATACTGTAAATTTAAACTTCAATAACCTTTTCATACTTTCATTTTTTGAAGTGTTTTCAGTTCAGCAATAATCTGCTGAGTGTTTTCTTTAAAACAAGACCAAACATTATGTATTTAATTTAAAATCTGAAAGTAAAGTTTTTTTAAAAACACATCACAGAATGACAATGATTTCTAAATGAATGACACATGTGAGTTTATACACTGTTGTATCTCTCTGTGTGTGTGCTTGTCTCAATGCGTTTTTCATATGATCACACAGAATCTGGCAGCGGAGAAGACGTATAATAACCTGGACATCACCGTGACTAAAGCCCTCCAGCATCGCTCGCAGTATTTCGAGGGTGTGCTGACCTGTCGGGCCAGCGAGACCCTCGAGGCCATTATTAACCGACTAGTGGAGGCCGAGGTGAGGGACACATGTGACATGATGGCATCATCAATCATCATTAATTAACTTTTTCATAATAATGCAGCCCTAAGACAACACAGACACATTTAATAGGATCATTATAAAAAGCAAACCCATTCCATCTTAAGGGAAAGGTTCATATATGATCCTGATATATGCATTCATTTACTTGCGCACGAGTACTTGGGTGAACAATATGTGGCGTACTGAGGGATCTGTGTGATGTTCAGGTTCACAGGCTAGTGATCGTGGATGAGCATGAAGTGGTGAAAGGCATCGTCTCTCTGTCGGATATCCTGCAGTCTTTGGTGCTCACCAATGGAGACGACGGTAAGACTCGAAAAATACACATTATTCCAAATGACAGTTCATCACATTTTGCATGTATGTATATAATAGACTACACTATTGATGGGCGACGTGAAGCTTTTTGAAACTTTTAATCAGTTGCCTCACAAAATGTGATGTGATCCGACACCGCATGTTTCAGAGGAAAATGCAGCACGGTGTTCATTTTCAGTTTTGATTCACATTAAATGCTATGTGTGTTTGAGTTGCTTTACTTTATATCTCGCAATTCTGACTTTATATCTCGCAATTCTGACTTTATATCTCGCAATTCTGACTTTATATCTCGCAATTCTGACTTTATGTCTCGCAATTCTGACTTTATATCTCGCAATTCTGAATTAATATCACACAATTCTGACTTTATATCTAGCAATTTTGACTTTATATCTCGCAATTCTGACTTTATATCCCGCAATTCTGACTTTATATCTCGCAATTCTGACTTTATATCTCGCAATTCTGACTTTATATCTTGCAATTGCGACTATATCTCATAATTCTGACTTTATATCTCGCAATTCTGACTTTATATCTCGCAATTGCAACTATATCTCGCATTTTGACTTTATATCTCGCAATTGCGACTATATCTCACAATTCTGATTTTATATCTCGCAATTCTGACTTTATATCTCGCAATTTCGACTATATCTTGCAATTCTGACTTTGTATCTCGCAATTACAACTATATCTCGCATTTTGACTTTATATCTCGCAATTTGACTTTATATCTCGCAATTTCGACTATATCTTGCAATTCTGACTTTGTATCTCGCAATTGCGACTATATCTCGTAATTCTGACTTTATATCTCGCAATTGCGACTATATCTCGTAATTCTGACTTTATATTACGCAATTCTGACTTTATATCTCGCAATTGCGACTATATCTCGTAATTCTGACTTTATATCTCGCAATTCTGACTTTATATCTCGCAATTTGACTTTATATCTCGCAATTTGACTTTATATCTTGCAATTGCAACTATATCTCATAATTCTGACTTTATATCACGCAATTCTGGCTTTATATCTCGCAATTCTGACTTTATATCTCACAATTTGACTTTATATCTCGCAATTTTGACTTTATATCTTGCAAATCTGACTTTATAACACACAATTGTGACTTTATATCTCGCAATTCTGACTATATCTCGCAATTTTGACTTTATATCTCGCAAATCTGACTTTATAACACGCAATTGTGACTTTATATCAAAAGTCATAATTGTGAGATAAAAAGTCGCAATTACCTTTTTTAGTTTTCCTTCTGTGGCGGAAACAAGCTTCCACAGCATACAGCTAATGTTAGTTAGAACGGTTGATTAATGTGTGATTTAGATGCTCTGTTGACAGCCTGCTCTTTCCTTCTGTTTTCCCCTCAGGCAGTGCTTGATGAAGAACAGTGAAAGAGTTTCCTTCTCTCTCTAGAAGCTGGACGGTGCTCCAGAAATGGAAAACATCTATGATATGCAACCCTCTCAAAAACAGGAGCTGATGAAGCACCACAGATTTATTAACAGAGATCCGGCTTCTCCGTCAGGAAAGGGACGTGCTCAGAAATGCAATTGCTTTTCTAAGAAGAAACTCGTTTAATAATCGAGTCCCTGCACCACTTCAGGGAGTGGGAAAGGAAATATCATTTTTAGCTTCAAATTAATTTAGTTCTGTCGCTCGGCACACTCTTTTTGCTGAAGAGACATCTGTCGTTCACATTATTGTCCACTTATTCTGTCCTCAGAGAAGGAAAACACGATGAGATTGAGGTGAAGATGTAATTGTCTGGACTGTGGAAATGAGGCAGAAAAGCCGAAGCTTGAGCCGGGAAATAGTCATTTACGTTTTGCGCAGTGTGAGAAGAAAACTCGCACCGAGAGACTGAAACATTCCGTTATTGTGCCGGGTTTGCAGGGTAATATAGCTTGTTTTTCTAACTCATGGCCATTTTTAATATTGAAGAGGTCTGTCCTCTAAAGCCAGATACAATCTCAGCTGAATTTCTACACTACACACACACACAGACACACACACTTGAGTATTTGGGGAAGTTTCATTGCTTTAGTCTGAACATTGAGCAAAGGGAGGGAAAGCTTGTTTTGATATTATTCACTGAATATTTATATCATTGGAAAAACAATTACTCAATATTATTTACATCATGTACATTATCATAGATACATTTAGTTCTTTATCTTTGGTTTTGGGCCAGACTCTTGTTTTTATGTCTGATGCAGATGTGTGTTTCATTTCTAGTTAATATCGCTACTGATTTTACTCTGCTTTAATTGTTTTAAGGTCCATGAATTATCAACAAAACTGAGAATATCAGACGACTCACACTTTTTATTGTAGCTCGTCTCGCTACAGAAAATCATTTGATTGTAATAGATTTTGCTGGTATTTCTCTCTGTAATCATTTTTATTCCACACATAAAAGATCTGTAAATACACCTGAACTGTTTTCTAATTCTCCCATGTCAAAGATGTTTTATTGAAGGCACAAGAAAAATAAAAATGTATTCATTTAATAAGTTGTTGCAGTTCTTATGTTGGAAAGGAATCAAGCAAGACGGATGTGCCACTATAAACGTTTTCACCGATATAATATTCTTTTGCGAATGTGTAATTTAAAAGATAGTTTTTGTAGTTTTGAGAATCATACAGACATGTCGAAAAATGTCCTGTGTGCATAAAATTCATTCAGTCATTTACTGTAAACACTTTTCTTTGAAAGCATCTGTTATGCGTATTAAAGTCCCCGTGAACCGGAAGTTGCAAAAGATTTTTCTCCAGTGCTGTGACGTATTTCCAAGTGAAACGGAATATTGAACAGAGGGCAGGGTTTTACTCTAGCGCTCCTCCTCTCCATCTTTCGCTCATAGTAAACTAACGGTTTGAGGGGAGTGGTTAAGCGTTTCCCCACCCAAGTTGTGAAACCTACGTCATCAGAAAAAGAAACCGTTCCAGACCGGAAGTAACTTTTCAGATTTTGATTAAAGATTACTAAGGTAAAACATTTTTTAAATATATTTTTACTTGCACGGATTAATTGTTCACCACAAGACTAGTAATATGCTCTAACAAAGTAAATAGGTTCAATTTTGATTTCACGGGGACTTTAAAGGGCACAGGGAAGTCCAGATTAAACACGATTTAATGAATCGTGAATGCAAGTACACATTGATGGCCTAAGACACGAAACGAGAGGTTTGTGTGAGAAAACGAACAGTATTTATATAATTTTTTATCTCTTGTTAACAGCCGTCGAACCGATCTGAATCGGATGTCCAACTGAACCGAACTGAACCGTCTCCAGACGTTACGCCGGAAGTGATCTCTCGAGCGTCGACGTCACGCATTGTTTACACGGAGATTTCGGAATTTTTACCTTTCACTAAACATATTTAGATATATCAAAATCTAAATATGTTTAGTGAAAAGTAAAACTTCCGAAATCTCCGTGTAAACAATGGGTGACGTCGACGCGCGAGAGATCACTTCCCGCGTAAAGTCTGGAGACGGTTCAGTTGGACAAATGATTCAGTTCAGTTCGACGGCTGTTAACAAGAGGTAAAAACTATATAAATACTGTTCGTTTTCTCACACAAACCCCTCGTTTCGTGTCTTAGGCCAACAATGTGTATTTACATTTAACTTACGAGTCATTAAATCATGGTTAATTTTGACTTCTCTGTGTATGCTCTTTGAGGTGGACCCAAAAACTGCATTATATGACTGACAGACAACACCGGTTTGACTGAAAAATGTCCAAATTGAAAATGCTGTGGAAACAAAGACACCTACATCTTGGATGCCCAGGCTTGAGGTAAGATAAAACATATCAAAAATTTATTTCAAAGTGAACTATTTAACCACTTTTTAATCAAAATCTTGAAAAACACACCAATGGTCCATAGTGACGCGTGGAAGCAAAAATGAACTCTTGACAAATGTAGGAAAATCTGTGTTTATTACCATTTAATAATTACCCATGTACATGACTGGAAACTGAACATTCCTGAAAATCCATGTAGATTTGGGAAAAACAGGCAGATTATACAGGTAGGCTGTGAGGTCAGAGGATAGAGGAAACCAGGACCGTTTGCACATCTTAAATCAGGCGACGAACGTCTCCACTACAGCGAGTGGATGAAAGAGACGAGTCGTCAAATGCTTTCTGGAAGCTATAAATATATGTACAAACTCTCGTTTAACAGGAGAAACAAACACAGGTCCATCCAGAACTCATTACTTATTATCAATTCTTTAAGGTTTTCCATGACAGATTCGTGCCAGTGTAGTATTATAGTTCTCAGTAGTTACAATCACATTTCACATATGCTGACATGGAAGTTTGTCCTTTTTTTTTGGATCAATATTACAAAAAAAAACAAAAAAACATAAAAATTTCAAAGTAACCATCTTCCATCTCTATGCAATCATATTTGGCTTTCTCTGGACACATTAAATAGCGTAAGGTGACTTTGAATTGTTGCAAATGGACGAATGAGATTACAACAGTACTTATTTCGATTGTCAAACATCATACACATACTCTAGACATTAATCCTGAAACGTCTGTGAGCCACTGGGAGATAATAAAATCATCAATAATAAAAAACGAAAGACCACAGACCCAAACCCCTGTACAGCCGCTTCAAGACGATTCCTACGGTTAAAAGCGCTATACAAATTAAACCTGAATTAAATCCGAGTCACATTAAAAAACAAACCACAAAAACAGATTAAACAAAACACAGCTACACACACTTGTCTACAGAATCAAAGTGGATTATTAAAAAAATGTCATACATTATAGAAACTATATTTACATCTTGCATATTTCATTCAGAAGCGAGAGGAACAGGAGGGCAGTAGTAGAAATCTGGAGTCATAAATACAGTGTATTAGGAGTAAAGAGGCTTCAACGCCCAACTTTTCAAGTCAGCTTACATTTTCAAGTCGTTTTCTCTCATAACAGGCCCAGTGCATGAAAAATGAGATCTACTTCCTCTACAATTCATTGTGCCTTTTTGCCAAAATTAAAATCATTATTTATTCACACTCACGTGTATCTATGCTCAAAGTGATTGGATTCTGGGAGTGTCAAGCCTAAAAAGCATCATGGATGTAGTCCATATAAATTCAGACTTGTAGTGTTCAGATTTGTCATGGAAAAGAGCAGTGTGCACATTCTGCTCATCGTCTCCTTTTGGGTTGCACTGAATAAAGGGTTTGGAACAATATGAGGGTGAATAAATAATCAACTATTCCTAACAAAACAGTCTCCTCGACTAATAAAATGTGCGTTATCAGTGTCCTCGTCATTTTTAGTGTCATTTAATGCTACAGTGAGAAGCAACACACAAGTTTAGCTATGAAAAACAAACGCATGTACTTTACCCAGGCGCCCGCGCAGCTTCACATCACATCTTAGATGACCCTGTCCGACGCTCGGGACGTATAAACACTTTAGCTTAGACGAAGGATTCGGAAATGAAAACCAAAAAAAAAAGGGTATGCTATTTACACTTCCATACTTTTAAAAAATATACTATGTACAGTAGCTTTATTCGCCCATGGAGGAGAGAAGGAAATCTAACGGCGATAAAAAAATATGAAGGATCTACAAGCTAAAATAAATACACATCCGTAGTACCGTTCAGTAGTAAGAATAGACGTGTGTGTGTGTGTGTGTGCCAGTGTGTGATTCCAAAAATCAAGATGGCTATAATCCACGCTCATGAAACCTCCGTAATAAAGTGCAAATAAGGTTGTTTTGCTAACAGCTTTAACCACTGGCTAAGAGAAGGGAACACGTGACTAGCAGTGCCATCAGCCCACCTTAAACCAAATTAACTCGGTTTACTAAACCTGAGGTGGTTTAGAGCTTAAACTGGTCAAACTGATCTAAGAGAAGGCAAAACGCACGTGTTTGGAAAATAATCTTTGGGGAAAACTGATTTTTGAACAGAAACCATGAACGTCACATGACAGAGTGGATGATGATGAGTGGATGACGCTAGCGTAGGTTCAGTAGTTTTGGCGGTGGGGTGAGGTAGGCCCCGTCACAACCGAGTGGACGGAAATACTTTTTGAACTGGCAGGATAGTTTAGAGTGGTAGCATGTCTGTACACGTCGTCTTTCCTAGGAGTGTTTTACTCTCTCTCGCTGAAGGTAGTGTTTGCGCTCAGATTTTCATGTCTTCGTCCACGCTGAGTTGAGACAGGGTTTTCTTGATCCGGAGAGCCGTCAGTCGCGCGGCGCCGTTCGCGTACCAGCACTCGCGCATGATCTTCCCCATCACACGCAGCGCCTGGAGGGATACGTTACGAATTTGCACATCATTATTATATTATAGATAATATATTATCTATTGTAATATTGACAACTAGCACTTTTTAAACATTAAATGTCTGATCATTTAACCATTGCAATGGTTAATCATACAGAAGAGGATTGGGGCCGAGCAATAATAAAAAATAAAACCATCTCGAAATTAAACTCGTTAAATTTCGAGAAAAAAGTCGAAATACAATCTTGAGAATAAACTCATTAAATATTGAGAATAAAGTCTTTGTGTTTCGAGAAAAAAAACTCGTTAAATTTCGAGAAAAAAAACTTGGAAATACAATCTTGAGAATAAACTCATTAAATATCGAGAATAAAGTCGTTGTGTTTCGAGAAAAAAATCTCGTTAAATTTAAAGAAAAAACTTGGAAATACAATCTTGAGAATAAACTCATGAAATATCGAGAATAAAGTCTTTGTGTTTCGAGAAAAAAAACTCGTTAAATTTAAAGAAAAATAGTCGAAATACAATCTTGAGAACTCATTAAATATCGAGAATAAAGTCGTGTTTCGAGAAAAAAACTCGTTAAATTTAGAGAAAAAAAACTTGGAAATACAATCTTGAGAATACTCATTAAATATCGAGAATAAACTCATTGTGTTTCAAGAAAATTCGATGTTTAATGAGTTTATTCTCAAGATTGTATTTCGACTTTTTTTAAGTTTAATCTCGCATTATAATGACTTTAATCTCATTATAAGATGGTTGTTATGAGATGGTTTTATTTTTTTATTATTGCTTGGCCCTAATCCTCTTACGTATAATCGCGATTAATCACATCCAAAATAAAAGTTTATGTTTCCATAATATGTGTGTGTGTGTATTGTGTATAATTATTTTAACACACACGTACATGTATATATTTAAGAAATATAAATAAAAATATTTTATATATAAATACCACATTTTTCTTTAATACATGCATGTGTGTGTATTTATATACAAAAACACACATATATTATGGAAACACAAACTTTTATTTTGGATGCGATTAATCGCAATTTATTAATGCCCAACACTTTTTTTAATTATGTGAAATAAATAAAAAATAAATATAAAAGTTTAATTAATAATACTATTATTCAACAAGGATGCATTAAATTGAAATAAAAAAAGTGACAGTAAAGACATTTATACTTTTAAGATTTCTATTTCAAATAAACATTCTATTCATTAAAGAATCCTACTAAAAATGTATCACGGTTTTCACAAAAACATGAAGCAGCACAAGCCTGAACAGCAAATCATCATATTAGAGTGATTTCTGAAGGATCATGTGACACTGAAGACTGGAAATTCACCTTTGATCACAGGAATAAATTACATTTGATCATCTATTCATATAGAAAACATCTATTTTAAATAGTAAAACTTGATTTTTGATCAAATAAATGCAGACTTCTCTCAAAAACAAAAGCAGTTAGATAGTAGTATTATTATTATTTCTGAGGTGGACAAACAAGCACCTCATTTCATTGGACTTATTTAACGGTTTCAAGCACTATTTTGTACCTATTAAGACATAATCATGTCTCGTTAGTCCATTAAAGACCATATTCAAATTTAGAAGAAAGAAGCGATCATTGGGAAATCATCATGATGTTAGTAGCATGGGCTGTCGTGGTGTCTCTCACCTCATAGCTCTGCCACCAGTTCGGTATGTTGGGTCGTAACCTCTGGTCACACACAACTTTCCTCATTTCTTCTATGGATGGATCGGAGGGCACCAGGTCATAGTAGGGCAGTTGGTACTCTTCGTGAATTCCTGAGGGCAAACATAAGAGCAGCATTAATAAGAACAATGTGCAATTATTAAAACATGGTTTTGACGGATTTCAGTACCTCCAGCATTGCAGCGGCGAGCGATCTCCCAGTACACGAGTCCTAAAGCGTAGATATCGGCGCATTTAAACGAGTCAAAGTGACGCATGTTTATACTCTCTTCCAGAACCTCAGGTGCCATGTACCTGAAACACACAGCAGACACACACATAAACACGACTACGATTACTTAAACCCAAAGTACACTGCAATATTTTTTTTTAAACTTATGCATACAGTCGTTCAAATGGACGTTCGCATAACTTAAATAAACGTCTTGCATCCACACAAGTTAGTTTTCTCGTGTGCACATGAAAGTCTGTATTTTTTTATATTTGCAAAGGTCCTTTTAGGGAATCCGTACGAACGTGTAGCCTTTCAAACTATAGTACATATAATAGCATTTAAAAAAAAAAAAACTCCCAAATAATGCTAAAAATTTTACAGGGAACCCTCACATTTGGTACATTAGAGGTTAAAATTAACAACAGAGCTATTATAATTATCTGCTATTCATTTCCAGATATAATATTTACACTCAAATAAAAGCATGAATGTTTGTATACAACTCAGTTGCACATGAGGTAGTTTTAATAAACACTTCAAAACAAATTAATTCAAGCATGCATATATGATCAACAGTAAATAAGCTCTTCTCCAGTGTACAAACTGTCGAACTGAACACTGGATGACTTTCCTGAGGTAAATGCAACGTTATTGTTGACAAGCTGTTTTATTGATATCTTTCCACGGTTGAAACACAGATTGAGTGATTATGAATCATGATTTGGATTTTGGTAACTTGTACTGTACACTACAGCGATCTGTCATGTCACATTTAAGAGCTTCAAAACGTCATTTACTGTTTGAATTTCGTGAGAATTTAAAAGCTGAGACTGGCTGATACATCGGTGCATCTCTAGTAAAAAAAGAAGTATTCTTTGGGCTTTAGAGTACATAAAGTAGAAACCACTGATAGTTCAAGTAGACGTGTTGGGTTAGATTAGCGTAACGTGTGTTTGTAAATATGTTTTTCTTGGCCACATAATGGGTCTCATTCATGAAACACGAGCAGAACGAATTTGTGTGTAAATCGAGTGTAAAGTGGTTCTGGCATAAATTTTCGGATTCATTAAAATGTTGGTATTTTCCAAATGTTAGTTGGTACGCAAGAAATCTACACCTGCTCCCAGCCACGCGTAAATGGTGTGCTAAACATCCAAACGTTTTGCTCATTAATAACACTGCATTTTAGTTCACCTTAACCGGGTACATATTCACACAGCATTTTCAAAAAAATATTTTATATAGTAATTACATACGGTTTTTCTTTTTACTTTTATTATGAGAGCCAGTAATAGCAGATCTGGTGATCGATGGCGCTCCTTCTCTAGTTTGAATACGATTTTTCCAAAGTGAACTACTTAGTTTTTTGCCGTCAAGCTTAATGTCGAACCATTTTCTTCTCACTTCTGGGACTGTTCGATTAACAGATGAAACTCAATTAACTGCATCTGTAATGCTGCTTCCTTTTTTTGGACCTGATAGGCCACTAGTACGCTTGAAAATAAAATTGAATGAATAAATGTTTTGAATGAACTTCTGATAATTAAATTTCAATTTCTGCATCCGAGAAATCTTTCTTTTTCATTCGCATTCATGTTATTATATGCGTAAATGGGCGGGATTTATGGTAATTGAGAATGAACGTGCACGCGCATCCCATTTACGACTGGTTGGAACTCATTAACACACATACACTTCACTATCACATCTGACATTTACAAAGTATTTGTGAATCAGGAGAAGATATTTCGAGAAGGTCTCTTTATGCGCAAATCACTCTCATATTTACTCGTATATTTACGAATGTTTCATGAATGAGACCCACATGATGTGCGGCGTACCTCTTAGTGCCGACGCGTTGGTTGGGGGCGATATCGATGGTGTCAGAGACGGACTCGTGACGAACTGCCAGGCCGAGATCAGCGATTGCACACGTGCAGTTTTTCTTCACCAGGATGTTCTTGGACTTCAGGTCACGGTGAGCGATGCCAGGCTTACCTGCCGAGCAAACACAACCGTTACAGATTCATGAACGCACACACATCTGGTAAACACTTTTCTCTGGTCAGAGAGGGATCGTAATATCTCTGTTCAAGTTGGCATAGCAAATATCCTTCAATGATGTAACCATTCGCGAGTGGCAGAGACGACAGATGGAGTCAAGGGAAACTTGGATTTTAAATATATTTCATTCAGTGCTCAAAAGGCCTGATAAAAACTGATTATTGCACCCATTATTTGTGTGCTCTCCATGTTTGTTCGTTCTTATTAAAGTCATTATTTTAAATGCTAATGTTAGACTCTACTGGAATCAACGGAGGTATTAGTAAAATTACAGGTTTGCCACAATATGTTTTACAGTATAATTATTACAAACCCATTATTAACATGTATATAAACACACATTTTCCACTTAGAAGCACATGAGCTTCTTTGGGAAAAAGTCAAGCCCTGTACCGCTTCACAAGATATTGCATGTTTGACGTTTGTTTCCAATTTAACGGAAAGCCAACTTCTACGGCTACTTTCATGACAAAGAACAAGTTATAATACAATAAAAGTCTGCATATCTGATGTAGAGGCAGTGTTATGTAGATGACAAGATGACTTATTTCTTTAAACTTAATTTAATAATATGACGCACTCACCCTGAGTGCCCAATATCTCCATATGCAGATGTGCCAGGCCGCTGGCAGCCGTCAGTGCCAGTTTGATCATGCCCTCGATGGTGACTGAATATCGGTTCAGATAGTCAAACAGGGATCCGTTCTCATGATAGTCTGACACCAACCACAACTGAGTCCATGTGCCGTTATCTGTGACAGAGACAATTAGATATTATTATACCCAGATTACAACACCAGACAGTATTAAAATGCACTGCATATTAGGGCCGGGACAATAAATCAATTCATGGATCGATCCCAATATTTCCCGAATGCGTCGCCGTTCTCTTTCGAATCGATTCTGAGCTTAGTTTGACAGCAGATGGCGCTCTAGGGCTAGTTTTTAACCAAACGAAAATGTACTTGCACCTCACAATGCTTTTATGACGCAAAATTAATGTAAACAGCCCACTGCAAACACAGTTGTAATTCGCTTTTTGACCTTTACGAAATGATTATTTTATAGGTTCAAGTGGTGTGTAAATGCAAGGCATTGGAGGCAAGCAGAGTACAGCCGTTTCTAAAGCACGCATTGCCATCTGCTGTTAACAAATAAGCTCAGAATTGATTCGAGAGAGAATCGCGATGCATTCGGAAATTCTCAGAATCGATCCAGAACCATTTCTCGATTCACGATGCATCGATTTGTTTACCTTTGTTGTCGGCCGCAATGAAACCCAGAATATTCTCGTGGCGGAGCATGATGGTCTGGTAGATTTCAGCTTCACGAAACCAGGAGCGTTCTTCACGAGAGGAGAAGATTTTCACCGCGACGTCACCTCCTCTCCACCTCCCCCTCCACACCTCCCCGAAGCGCCCTTTACCGATGATCTCCTGCAGCACTATAGTACGGGCCACTGTCCTCTGGACAAACAGTGGCAGACCTGCAGCACAGAGAGAGAGAGAGACTTTATAAAACAACTCACAATATGCTTGAAGAGAAGATCATTAGTGACCTACTTGTATGTTAATCTGTTCTTCACACAAAGCATCACATGATTTCAGAAGATTTGTGCTGCATCTGATATCGCATACTATATAGTAGAGTAGTGTTGTCTATGGGATCCGCTGATAGACGCCCCATGTGTATCTGTGTAAGCGATCGGTGAAGACAACATGTTTTTGAAGCGTTGATCATCGTAACTGATCACAGACGCAAAAAATTGTGATACCCCTCCAAATCGTTGAATTCAGGTATTCCAATCACTTCCATGGCCACAGTTGTATAAATTCAAGGACCTAGGAATACAGACTGCTTGACCAAACATTTGTGAAAGAATGGGTCTCAGCTCTCAGGAGCTCAGTGAATTCAAGCGTGGTACCGTGATAGGTTGCCACCTGTGCAATAAGTCCATTTAAGAAATGTCCTCACTACTAAATATTTGTAAAGCAGTGGTGTAAAGCGTCGGATGCAGTGGTGTAAAGCAGTGGTGTAAAGCGTCGGATGCAGTGGTGTAAAGCAGTGGTGTAAAGCGTCGGATGCAGTGGTGTAAAGCAGTGGTGTAAAGCGTCGGATGCAGTGGTGTAAAGCGTCGGATGCAGTGGTGTAAAGCAGTGGTGTAAAGCGTCGGATGCAGTGGTGTAAAGCAGTGGTGTAAAGCGTCGGATGCAGTGGTGTAAAGCAGTGGTGTAAAGCGTGAGATGCAGTGGTGTAAAGCAGTGGTGTAAAGCGTCGGATGCAGTGGTGTAAAGCGTCGGATGCAGTGATGTAAAGCAGTGGTGTAAAGCGTGAGATGCAGTGGTGTAAAGCAGTGGTGTAAAGCGTCGGATGCAGTGGTGTAAAGCGTCGGATGCAGTGATGTAAAGCAGTGGTGTAAAGCGTGAGATGCCGTGGTGTAAAGCAGTGGTGTAAAGCGTGAGATGCAGTGGTGTAAAGCAGCGGTGTAAAGCGTGAGATGCAGTGGTGTAAAGCGTCGGATGCAGTGGTGTAAAGCAGTGGTGTAAAGCGTCGGATGCAGTGGTGTAAAGCAGTAGTGTAAAGCGTGAGATGCCGTGGTGTAAAGCAGTGGTGTAAAGCGTGAGATGCAGTGGTGTAAAGCAGTGGTGTAAAGCGTGAGATGCAGTGGTGTAAAGTGTCGGATGCAGTGGTGTAAAGCAGTGGTGTAAAGCGTGAGATGCAGTGGTGTAAAGCAGTGGTATAAAGCGTGAGATGCAGTGGTGTAAAGCGTGAGATGCAGTGGTGTAAAGCAGTGGTGTAAAGCGTGAGATGCAGTGGTGTAAAGCAGTGGTGTAAAGCGTGAGATGCAGTGGTGTAAAGCAGTGGTGTAAAGCGTGAGATGCAGTGGTGTAAAGCAGTGGTGTAAAGCAGTGGTGTAAAGCGTGAGATGCAGTGGTGTAAAGCAGTGGTGTAAAGCGTGAGATGCAGTGGTGTAAAGCAGTGGTGTAAAGCGTGAGATGCAGTGGTGTAAAGCGTGAGATGCAGTGGTGTAAAGCAGTGGTGTAAAGCGTGAGATGCAGTGGTGTAAAGCGTCGGATGCAGTGGCGTAAAGCAGTGGTGTAAAGCGTGAAATGCAGTGGTGTAAAGCATCGGATGCAGTGGTGTAAAGCGTGAGATGCAGTGGTGTAAAAAAAAAAAATCTAAACAGAAAAGATAATGAAAATCTAATTCAAAATATAAATCAAAACTATAATAGAGAATATAAATAACACTGTTGCATACATGCATAAATAAATCCAGCACCTTTTCTCCTGCGATACTAACCTGACCCAGATCCTGAGGTGGAGAGGTCATAGATGAGGTCCTGCAAGGTCTTGTCCTTGGCCAGGAACATGTGTTCAGTGCTGGGATCCTCCACCTCCAGCCTCTGCCGGTGGCCGTAAGCTCGCTGGTGGTGCTGGAAGAGGAAGAGACCCAGCAGAACCAGCACACACAGCACAAAGACCGGACCCGCCACCACTGCCGTGAGCTCCACCGGCCCCCAGTCCTGTTCTGTGCCCGGTTCGTTCGTCACTGACAGAGGACACAGTGCATTAGTTGCTTTGATGACATCTGGAATTTGGCATTGATTACAGCGGATGTAAAGATCACTCGGATCAGGGGACTCTGATCTACTATCGGTTCCTAAAATAGTCAAGTTATGGAGATCAGATCCGCCCAAACGTTGTCAATTCTTAAATCCACCTTGAAAAGCATGTTTTTTCAATTGCTTTTAATACATCTTGATTATGATTAGGCTATTTTTCAATATTTTACCTTGGGTCATAGGTTTGTCCATTTTATTGTTCTTTATTTTGCTTCATGTTTGTTTCCTTGGCTTTTGTAAAACACCAGTTGTTTTTAAACACGCTATATAAAGAAAACTGTATTGTATTGTAATGTAATGTACTGACGCTCACCTGTTGGTACTCTGAGGTCAATGCTGTTGCAGTAATCCGAGTAGCAACAGTGTGTGTTCACCAGTCCCTCTGTGCTGAGGCAGTAGATTGGCTGGCCCGGAGGAATCAGCTTCTCTTTCTTAATGCAGAGCCGCACGTGTTGCTCCTGTCCTTTAATGACAGAGGTGGAGGCCACGCACGCCCCGTTGGTCTCGCACTTAAAATCATCCTTCGCACAGTGTGGTGTAGTGCAGTTACAGAACAGAGCTGCAGAGAGAATCAAACAAATACATGAAATTTTATATTATTTATTAAAGATGCCCCCAATAGACGGCTTACCGTTAGCTTGGTCGAAAACATTTTTATTAGTCAGTCGCAGAAAAAAAAAAAACAGAAAGTGGTGGATAGATCATTAACACCAGGAAATCCAAACATTCACCTATCATTTATAGAAATCTAGACATATTTATATTTATAGAAAGCTTGAAATGTCTACCAATTAAATATTCTCCGATTATGTAACCTGCATATAAGGCACGTCCACTACTGCGGAGATGAAGAGTCAGCAGCCGAAATACATTATTAATTAATTATTAAAATGATTAAACAGTCTCCTGTTTTTTCACGACACACTAAAAATCATTACGTTTACAGTTGCGCTGTGGCAAGCTTTATACATGCATTTTAACGCTAATTAGACCATGTGTTGTAATAAGATATGATTTATGGCTTAAAAACATGATTCGTTGACTAATCCTTTAAATAAACAACTACTAGCCGAATAAAATCTTTAGTCGAGTCAAATCCTTATTATTTATGAACACTGCAGTGAATGGACAGAAGATGTGTCTTTTCAACAGCAGGGGGTGACAGGGATCAGTAGAGTCCTATACTGTGATTAAACCAGCAACATATCCGTTTATGCAAGTAGAATTATCATTTTATCATTATTTTACTTTTGTATTATTTGAGCATGTGAATTTAACAAATAAAATAAACTATGTAACAATTCAAGGTAACAATCCTGATAAACTAGACGAATAAAAGTCCCATTTGTTTCACCACATTGAACATAAACCTCCCTGGCTAAAAACCTAATCATCTGGTCTGTCCATTATGAGCAGCCAGACAGAGAGGATTCAATCATACTGGGACCAGAACACATTTAAATGGAGGATGTAGACGCACCAGAGTGGCCCCAGACGTCCCTCACCTGCAGTCCACAGTCTCAACTCATCTGAGCTGCCTTATGCACCAACGAGAGATGAGCCATGGGCTGCAGGAAACTGCATTTTTGCACATCTAAACCAAAGAACTACAATGTGTTCATAAAGCTGTAAGGAGCACGACTCACTGGAATCTAATGAACACCGTCTAAAGATTCGTTACAATTTGGAACTTTAAACGTAACGTTTCAACAAAATTCATGGCGCAAGATGAAAAAATACAAATTTCAAAGTCGTCCATTTGGAGTATGAATGGTGAACTTACATATGCCTACACCTTCTCAGAAATGGTTTTGAAGTGGTTTAGAAGTGCTGATTGTCCTAAAGTCGGGATGGGCAACGATTAATCGCGATTAATCGCATCCAAAATAAAAGTTTGTGTGCGTGTAGTGTGTATAGTTAATTTGTATATATAAATACACACACATGAATGTATATATTTAAGAAATATTTGCATGTACACCCTTTATATATATATATATATATATATATATTTATACATAATAAATATTATATATCTATAATAAATATTTGATATATTATTAACACATTTTTCTTAAAAATATACATGCATGTGTGGGTATTTATATATAGAAATTAATTATACACACACACACATATATTATGTAAACACAAACTTTTATTTTGGATGCGATTAATCGCGATAAATCGTTGCCCATCCCTATGCTTCAGTTGCATGCTAAAAACCTTCTCCAAGAAGTGTAATCAAAATGATCCCTTTAAAAAACGCGCCGCTAAAGTTACTCACTTGCTGAATTGTCTGGCCATCTTGACCCATCTCTGAATCTTTCCTACTGCACATTTATTGGATTTTATTTTTATTCAACCACAATTTTAAAAAACACCAGTTTATTTTCAGCATCTCTGTCCTCCTTTGACCCAATCATTATTTATATATATATATATATATATATATACACACACACACAAATCATACAAGATTTAGCCTTCATATTAAAATCTAAAAAAAAAAAAAAACACTGCAGCCTGCAAGGGTCAGAAGATCTGAATGGTTTTTGCTACAGGTCAGGAAACCATGACCAACATTAGAGTTTCCATGGAAAAAAGAAAGAAGAAAACAATATCTACTAATAATTACCGGCAGTCCTAGAAGTCAGATAATAATTGTGTAAAGGAGTTATGCAAGAGCTGCTGATGTGCAACTTTCATTTGGTACTTGATTCCCTCTCTGGTAAAGCTCATACACGACGTTATTATTGAAATATTTTTTTGTGACATATGGATAATTAGAAAGTGTGAAATGTGAAAAAAAGGCTGTGATTTAGTCGAAAACGCTCTCGTATTTGACGGCGCTGAATTGCGTTGATGGCGTGACTGAACACAGCTCCAGCTCATGCCAACAGGAACCATTTCAACAAATTAAGCCTTGATCAATTCACATTAAGAGGATCTGGTTGTACAGTATATCTTGCAGTCCAGGCCAGGCCGCTTTCAGCATCAGATAAGCAGTGGGAGATTTTTACTAATCAAAGTTTGCATGGATGTAGGTCGTTGCGGAATAAATTTAGCATGTGGGCTTGGTTTTCCACTGAAGATGTTTCATCATATCAGTGCCAGTGGATTGTAGTGGCATATTGGTTAATAGACAGGATTTCCTGTTATTTACACCCATTCATACGATGTGACGCAAAAAGAAATGACATTTCCGTGGGAGCTTCCCCTTGGGCTACAAACTAAGTGAAACTACTTGTTTACAGATGTTACGAGTCTGTCATTGTGGTTGATGTCGCAGTCTATGACGGGTTTACAATGATGAATCTCAGGTCAGTTCCGATCAAATAAAAAGTAAAATGCCAATAACAAAACGCAACTAACTCATATATGGCAATCATGCTTTTAGGATAGCAAAATAATAAGGTGTACCAACAAGGAGGAAAAAACAAATCCCATATCTTTTGTTGAATTCACAGTTCAATCAAGCCCTGCATTTTTGGTAAATTTGTGCAATTGGGCAATTTGTGCAAATTTATTAGGCTATAGCCTATGCAGTTAATCCTTTTTGCATGTCAAAATATGCCTCTGCAAATTAAATAAATGAAATTAAATTGAAGACAATTTGTTTACTGCTGTATGCTAATCAATTTTAGTGCTGTGTTAGGTCACGAAGATGGCCAACGTAAAATATTTTCTTGCTTCTTTTCAGTCTAAACCAACTTGAAAGTAACAAAAAATAAGCAAACAAAAAAACATCCCTAAGAAAACAAAAAGTAGATCCATTTAGTAAAGTAGTAGTAAATAAAAGTACAGTAAATCTAAGCGTAATCTCCTGAGAATGACCTCACTGCTGAAGTCTGGCTTCACAATACCAAACTCTCACTCAAACGGACATGAACTTGTTTGTACTTGCACACGTACAGAAGTAAAGTGCTAATAAATATCCAAACTAAAGTCTCCGAAACCTTATTTGATTAGACCAGATATTTAGGCAAAATCAGACTAACAATAGGCCTTTTTTATTTTCTAGACTAGACGTCACTTGCTGAATTAAACATACACAATAGTGAAGTCACGTGAAAATAATCATACTGCAGTTTGTAATGCCACATCTCATACCATTTAAGAAAAACAGTAGGCCGTATAGGCTACAGTGTAAATTGTGCAGTAAACTGTATTTCACACATATGTTTACTCACTGATAAACAGAAATCCATTATTTAATGGAGCACAATGTTTAGTAAATATGAGACACTATGATTCAGTGTTGGTAATTTAAAGTCAAGTGGCTGGGTCTAAACATTATAATAATCAAAGAATTTTAAAAGAGTAAAAGATAAGACACACTTTACTGCAACGTCTGATTAATTATATTATAGTTAATTCTGCACATGAGATCTGAAATGCCCTGTTTATCGGATAAAGTCTTTGGTCTTATGTTTAGCTTGAAAATTGTTTTAATTTTAGTTTAACAGGACTTTACGGGTTGAAAACAAGAAACCATTCATTATCCGGATTGGAGTATTAGCCATGCTAATATGCTGCTGTTTTTTAATCATGGAGCCCTAAGGGGGATAATTAGGAAATTTAAATTGGATTGCGCACAGAATCATTCTCCAAAAGGGAAATACACACAGTTCTGATCAAGGTTTTGTATATCCTGACCTACAGACCCATGCAAAGCTTTTAATAGCATATGAAGAGTTCAGATGCAAAAGCCTCTAAGTGCCATTTGAAATTTTCTTCTAGAATGATCATTTTTATCAAGCTTGTATATTTAAGTTCAGTGATTTCACTTAAATGGCAATGATAATTACCTATTAATTGTTATTTAAGTGAAATTACTGAACTTAAATATACAAGTTTGATAAAAAATCATCATTAAAGAAGAAAATTTCAAATGGCATTTAGAGGCTTTTGCATCTGAAATCTTCATATGGTCTTTATTTTATATTCAAAGGACACTTAAATAATTTGGCATTTCCGTGTATTAGGAAAATAAAACACAGAGACTAAGATATGCAGGAATATCCACTCGCATTCATGTAAAATTATTTGATCACATTGATTAAAAAAAAAAAAAGCTATCTAGATCAACAATCGAGAAGACCATGGGGTTCCTCGCATTGACCACTAGCAAACAACAGTGAAGCAAGAGAAGTCACTATGACCGGAAAGCCAGGTTTTTAAACTATACTAGACACAAATATCATATGCCATTGCCATCATATGACTTTCTTAGTGAGGCATAAATATAAAGTTCACACTTGTAGTCTAAAGAAAACAGCTCTAACATTTCACAATGTGCTCCTTTCAGTTCACGGTATACTTGGCCACCATGAAAAAGGCATGACTAACACACAAACATCCACATCAACAGTGATTTGATGCTACATGACGCATGTTGTCAACCTAGTTGTGGTTGGCAATATATTAGTTTTCATGCTGCTTAAAAAAAAAAATGAATGGAAAGGACAAATATTGTCAATAAATTGTATCAGATCAAAAGGACTTCAGATGAAGCAAGCTCTGAATCAATGCTATATTTTTCTATAATTTGTTAACAAACGTGCATTTATTACTTCAACGAGCTTATTGTTTCCGTCTTAAATTAGCCTAGCACATTATTTGAATTAATACATTAGCTAACTGTGTGATTTGTAAATGTATATTTCTGAAATACATAATTTGGACACAATCACCTCAGACCACTCTATGTAGACATGTATTTTCTGTAAAGCTGCTTTGAAAGAATATGCATTTTGAAAAGCAGCAGCGCTACACAAATAAATGTGAATTGAATAATTTTAAATTTCAACATATTTTTTTGAATGCCATGATCAAACTGTGCTTTCAACGCCTGTAATGCTGCCCAGACCCGGAGGCAGTGACGCAGGCCTAAACACAATCCTCTACCACTTTATACTTGAGATTTTGCAGCCGATCAGTGTTTGAATAACCGAAGGCTTGCCTCATCTATTGAAAGAACATTGTTCTCAGCAGTGCTGTGAAGCATCCAGGTGGTCTCAAGAAAATGGGCATGCAGGAATGTTACTTTTCTCTATAGTGACCACCCTGAGAAATCACTCTAGCTAAGTGTTTTTTTTATGTTAGACTTAAAAATCTAGCAGTTTCCACCAAAGAAAAGCCTGTTCAGAACCAGTAAAATTGTCTCTGCTCTATAGGCGTCTTTAAACCTGCATCTTTACAACCAGCACCTGCTAATGCCAGCGGCAGGGGAGTTCAGAGATGTGACAGGTGACTGACTTTGGCACTGCTGCACTATCAATGATGACGATTTTGTTATTTATATCGTAAGAGACTGAAACTCAAATGACTTTCGAATACAACCACATCTTCCTGCTTCTGCCAATTACACTTTCGAACTGACTAATAATATGCAGTTCGTTTGGCGCAAATTATACGCCCAAGTCTCAATCCACAACACTTCATTGAGGAGAAAGATAAAATGTCTCAACTGTGAAGAGTCCACATAAAGTGGTAATACAACTGGAATAATTATTAAGAGTCATATATCTGATTAACTAAGTGACTGATTAACTGAACTACAGTACTCAACATTTGAAGTGGATCAAAACCTTTCATCAAAGTTTACATGAATTTTGAACAACCCGTTCTTGTTTTAGGACAACTTTTTTGATCCACTTCAAATGTTGACTAATGTACATTGGAAAACCTCACTTCTTCAGCATTTTACAAAGAGATTTGGTAATATTTAGGGATGCACCGATATGAAAATTTTGGGAGATACCGAATCCGATAACCGATAATTCTTTATATTTGAAAGCCGATAACCGATATATCGGCCGATAAATTTAAATCCAAATTTTTATCTAATTTTGGGAGCCTGATTACAAAAACAAGTCTCACAATTAAATCCATGTCCCAAGCGCACGATTATAATGATGTTCTCATTATAGTGTTGTTTAGACGATATGACAGATTTGCGCTGCACATGTTGTCCCGAACCATATTTTCATTTTTTTAAAGAGATTTCAATAATATTTCAAGAAAATCAAAAACATACACAGTGCTCAACAAGCGTCTCAGCTGAAGGGAATAATACATTATTTATCGACTTTAATATATCGGCCACATTTTCTTACCAGGCCGATAACGATAACATAAAAAATGACCATATATCGACCGATACCGATATACTGGCCGATATATCGTGCATCCCTAGTAATATTACAATAACATGCCATCATTTATCAAAACCATGAATAACAAATTAAATATATAGCCTATAGGCCTGTTGGAACGAATTCCGAAACTGGAATATTAAAAAAAAAAAAAATCAATACTATTCGAATGCTGAAGTTACTGTTCGAAAATTGCTTTTCTATATATATATATAATTTAAAATGTTTATTTTATATGCAATCTTGCCTTTTCGCAGCCTTGGCTTACACGCATGTGAAAATGAAATGCCTTTGTTTCGTCTGATGAACAACAAAGTTTTAGAATCATAACACACGTTATCCACGGTGTTTCATCATAACTGTCAAAAATGGTAGCCTAAATGTTGAACAATGTAAAAAGCGAAAAACGCAAATATCTCAATGGATTCAGTGCGCATCGAGCTTGTTGGAACCGTCTAATCGAACTGAAAAGAATTTTTGGTGGTGTTTTCGCTGAGATATCGGCCAAAAACCATCGGAAGTGCGTCAGTCATATTCAGCACGAATAAAAAGTCTATTAGATGTCCCTCTAGTGGACCGAACGTGTGGCAACAACCACATGCTATAGTGGCATTGGCGATCCATAAGCATGTGTAATGTTGTAAATATTACTAAAAGGGTCAATTTTAGCATTTAATATTCGAATATTGTTTGAAGATGAAATAAAATAAGTAATGGAATTGGAATAATATTATGGAGGAAGATTGACAGCACTGTCTTTATTAAACGAGGGGGACTTCAACATCTTCCACGTGGGAGTAAAAATTGGGTAAACAAAACGTAGCTACAACATAATATGCAGATTAAATTGCTATGCAAGACCCTCACTGATGTGATGTACGAGACATTAGTGATTCAAAACGAGTCAAACCAAACAATCAGTGAGTGTCAGTGTTTCATCTATCGATTTCATGATCGATCGTCATCATGTCCGGGTATTTGTGCGTTTGTATTTGTACAATTACACATTTTTATATTCGCCTGGCATTGGCAATGTGACAAAAGCTAATTCTGTACATTATTTAAATTTGCTCATTATTACTGACTCGCACGCTTCACTTGTGTGTTCAGATAAGCTTTCATTACATATGATACACAATCTGTTTGCTCTGTTATAAATTGAGATTAAACAGCATTAGCTGCTGTCAGGGATTACTAATCTTATCCATGTTTCTGCAAAACTGGGTGAGTAACGGCATGCTTTTCATAAAGACATTGCCGTACAACGAGAACATAAACTGCAGGTGCGAAACATTGACCCTTTCCACATTTCTCAGATGAGGAGCTCATAATGGTTGAGTAAACTGCTATTGTAAACTACATTTTTTGTTCACATTTACTCATATAGCAAAAGAGAAACTACACAATAGTGTTTTCACAACAAAAAAGATAAGAGCGAGATCATTCTCTCAAAAAGCATATTGATCAATAGACCAAAAGAAAGATAGATGCACTTTATTAAACCTTTAGGGGAAACTCCGAACTCTTTAAAAACAAGTGTGCGTGTTCAAGCCTGTAGCCTTTAATATGCAGAAAACATTAAGGGCCTTTTCACAGCAGGTTAAAGAGAAACCTTAACAGTAATAAAGAAAGCCCGCTGGCTATGAGTTATCCATATCGAACCAAATAGAGACAAAGACTAACTGTATGTCTATATGCCGTGGAGAGAGAGTCAGACAGACATATCCAAGAGAAATGGGGTGACTGTTCGGTCATTTCCTTATTTTGTCCAATCTTTACAATTAAATGAGATTTAACCCAGTCGCAGTCCCACTGAAGTTCATAACACTGGCTCCATAACCCAACTATTATCATTACCTGTGCTCAGAGGTTATTGTTACTCAAGTCAAAACCATATCATCACTTAAAGGAAAGCAGCAGACCTATACTTCAAGCTTCAGACCACACACACACCTTTTTCCTGTCCTGACATTAACGTGCCGTTTCATACTTGATTTTAAACTGTAGTTACAGTGAAAAGATCCTGAGAGTTTCCCTCAGCCTACATAACCAACATGTTTAAGAGATATAGAGTCCCTGATACTTGCTAAATACAACACTTATAATTAATAACAAACGAATTACAATAAACATTTGGGGAGAACTTGGTTCCAACTGTAATAATGTCTGGGAAAAGGGCAACAGGTCAGCCAAGGCGCATCTAAATACAGGCTCTGATTGCTCTGACTGATAAAAATCTCATTCAGACACAAATAAACAAGTTTAAAATAATCTGCAGGGTTAAAATAAAAATTGTTTACTGTAAATTGACACTGTGATCGTGTTTAACCTCTTATTAATACTTCACCCACGCAAAGAGACGAAACAAATAAAGCCAAAATGAATTAATTTAAAAATAAAACACAAACAAGGGAAAGTATACTACAGCAGTTTATAAACAGTATTAAATCTGGATGGGTCAAATATGTCAATATAAGTATGATGCTATTCAAAAATCATATTCAGACGCATATCACCTTAAATATGAACTCTTAAATAACTATTATTCTTACGTTTTTATTCTATTTAATTTAGAGCCACGTATTAAACTAAGTTAGCCGGTTAGCATGCTAGCCACTCACCTTTTTGAGTTTCCAACATAAACACTGTCATCCTGCTGGATTATTGTTATTTAAACAACTAACATATATAAAATATAACTTAAAGCACATCACATATGCCTGTTACTGGCATATAAACAGATAAAACTAGTGAAAAAGCAGAGAGTTTGTGGGGCCAGTCGTTAAATCCCAGCGCCATGTTGTTGTTGTATTAAAAGCCAGACGTTCAGCGACTAAAAAAACACAATCAAACGAACCAATCTTACACACCTGTAAACAGAACAATGCTGAAACAAAAAAACACTTCATCCTTACCATCACACGCTCCGTTTAATCCCGATAAAACGACCAAGAGTCGCAGTATTTGCCGAGGGTCCATCCTCCTCACAGGACTCCCATCGCACTGAGAATGCGCGTGAACTCCGCTGACGAGAGCGCGCCAATGATGACTAGACGAGAGCGCGCCAATGATGACTAGACGAGAGCGCGCCACAGAGCACGCGCAAGACAGACAGACAGACAGACAGACAGACAGACAGACAGACAGACAGACAGACAGACAGACAGACAGACAGACAGACAGACAGACAGATAGATAGATAGATAGATAGATAGATAGATAGATAGATAGATAGATAGATTGATTGATTGATTGATTGATTGATTGATTGATTGATTGATTGATTGATTAACTATATCTGAATGACAGGTGTGACTACACAAACATAAAGCGTACAGTAGCGCCCTCTCATGTTGAACATCAGTAATTACAAGCTGCAGATCCTATTCGAATATGAAAACATCGTTAACTACTTCTAAATTTATATGGAACCTACTAAGACGGTGAAATTCAACCAAGATGCATTTTATTGAATAAAAATGTTGAATATTTGATATATTGCTGCTGTCCCGACCCGGGCACTGTAAGCGGAACCGTTAACAGCCGGACTGTTTCCGTGTGAAACGCTGCAGTGCACGCGTGTGTTACAGCGCAAAGTGTCCGGGTTAAGGAAGAGTCATGGCAGCCTCAGATCTCTTTAAAACTTTATTATACACAGTCAACAACATCCTGCAGCAGCACAAATATAAATCTGTTCTGGCTGTCATCAAAGGCTTCAGGAATGGAGCTGTGTGAGTGTTTTCAAACGCGTTTTTCTTTTTATGCATGTTTGTTAATAAATGCATGGACATATTTGTGATTCTGACCTTGTTTACACTTTTGAATTTATTTCATTTTGCGTATGAAAAAAATATATATAAATGAGTTGGGTTTTTTTGCCTTATACGAACGTTATATTACATTTTAAACTTAAAATTGCACTAATATGTATTTATATTGCTAAGTTTAGACTTAAGACTCACTGTAATTATGTAATTAAATACATATTATTAATTATTGTATTTATGTTTTGTTCTGTTTTTCCAGATATGGGGCTAAAATTCGTGCTCCTCATGCCCTAGTGATGACGTTTCTCTTCAGAAGTGGCAGGTGAGGTGAACTTTGACCTTTCAGATTACCAACTCCATGTCACTTTTATGTCAAAGATAGTTCTAGTCTAGCACTCATGCATAGACTGCTGCTTTTACTTGTTGATAAATAGATAATGTTACGTCATCATTAAAAATTTTCTTAAAGGAGTAGTCCACTTTTAAAAAAAACTTTTGCTGATAATTTACTCACCCCCATGTCATCCAAATGAAATTAAGGTTTTAGATGAAAACATTCCAGGATTTTTCTCCATATAATGGACTTCAATGGGAACCAAATGGTTCAAGGTCCAAAAGACAGTTTCAGTGCAAACTGTTCAAAGAGCTTTAAACGATTCCAGACGATGAATAAGCGAAACGATCGCTCATTTAATAAATAAATAACAAAGTTTAAGTTTTATAAACTCAAATGCTCGCCTTGCTCTGTTGTGTGTGACTCTCCTGTTTGAACTCGTTCATCAAAATGAACGCATCTTTTTCAGAGTCAATTTGTTCATTTCGTTCGTTGAATGACTCGAAATGACTCGAAAATGACTCGAAAAAAGATGCGTTCATTTTGATGAACGAGTTCAAACAGGAGAGTCACAAACGCGCATCACAGAACAGAGCAAGACGAGCATTTGAACTTATAAAACTTAAACTTTTTTTTTTTTTTTAAATGAGCGATCGTTTCGCTTGATAAGACCCTTATTCATCGTCTAAAATCGCTTAAAGCCCGTTGAAGCTGCATTGAAACTCTCATTTGGACCTTGAACCGTTTGGTTCCCATTGAAGTCCATTATATGGAGAAAATCCTGGAATGTTTTCATCAAAAACCTTAATTTCTTTTCGACTGAAGAAAGAAAGACATGGACATCTTGGATGACATGGGGGTGAGTAAATTATCAGCAAAAGTTTTTTTATAAGTGAACTACTCCTTTAAATATTAAACTGGTGTTCACATGTCCAAAAGTATTAGATGACTAGTGGCAGTGGTGATATTTTTCTAATGTACATACATTTGATTCATACATGTATATGTGCAATTAATGTGACGAATAATCAGACAAACATCATGCCTTATCATGACTAACAACAAATAACATAATAAATGTAATAATAGCCTGTGATCTCTGCTCATCAACAGTCTGAGAGAGAAGTTTCGTGCGATCGCTCAGGCCACGTTCACTCACTCCAGGAATCTGGCCTGCTTTGTGTTCACATATAAAGGCCTTCAGGCTCTTCAGCAGCACGTCCAGGGGAAACACCTGCAGTCTCACTCCTTCCTCGCCGCGTGTCTCGGAGGCTGGCTGGTGTTTGGAGAAAATAACAACATTAATAGCCAGGTAAGTGGAATTACCTGATCTATCATTGATGCCTAACAGTTTCAGTCGAAAAGGTGTTTGAACCGCTCTTCTTTAACACTTTAAAGCCTGGCTTTTCTTTTAACCCTAAAACCGTATTCTGGACAAATGTGGGCAAAATAGTTTTGATTTATTTTTTATAAATACTTCCGGTACAAGACTTGGCTACTTTTCCTAAGTTTGCCTCCTGAACACACACTCTTTTTTGACTCAATTCTACAATGTTAAGTGGGTGAAGAAAAACCTCCTTAATCTTGTATTTGGGTCAAAAATGGGCACCCATAGAAATGAATGGGAAAAACTAATTTAGAGCATTCTAAAATAAGACACCAGGTGACCGCAAAGTCACTTCATCTTTAGGTTTTAGCTCTAAGAACTTATTGGAATGATGTTTTAATGTAGTTAAAAAAATAAAACATAAAAATAAGCATAATTTAAATAGAAAATATGGTACTTTTTGAAGTAAATAAATTCAAAAATACCCCCAAAATAAAAATAAACACGATAAATGGATAGACAAAACTTTATCGAAGACAGTGATATAACATTTATAATAAAATTAGGATCACACCTGAGTCCTCTGTGCCCACATTTGTCCACAATTACAGGATTAGGGGCTATAAAGTGAATACGGTTTGAGGGCTACGAAAATGGAACGGTTTATTGAACCGTCAGATAAAATACTAAAAAAGGCCCATATATTCAGAGGCCAAACTATAATAATAATAGCAGTGTGGTGCAGAGGCTGATAGTTATATGACCAAAATCTAAGATGAAATATTGATATCTTGTCATGTAAATCAAGCAGCAAGCAAGGTGCAAAAAAATGCAAAACATTGGAAACTTTCTGATTTTTTTTTTTTATGTTTTTAAAAGAAGTCTGATGATCAAACAAATAAAAATTCACCACTCCTTGAAAAGGAGTTGGATGAAGTTTATCACTTATTGATTCCCACCCAAACTCTTAAAGGAGTAGTTCACTTTCAAAAAAACATTTGCTGATAATTTACTCACCCCCATGTCATCCAAGATGTCCATGTCTTTCTTTCTTCAGTCGAAAAGAAATAAAGGTTTTTGATGAAAACATTCCAGGATTTTTCTCCATATAATGCACTTCAATGGGGTCCAAACGGTTCAAGGTCAAAATGAGTTTCAGTGCAAACTGTTCAAAGGACTTTAAACGATTCCAGACGATGAATAAGGGTCTTATCAAGCGAAACGATCGCTCATTTAATAAATAAATAAAAAAGTTTAAGTTTTATAAGCTCAAATGCTCGCCTTGCTCTGTTCCATGATGCGCATTCGTGACTCTCCTGTTCAAACTCGTTCATCAAAACGAACAAATCTTTTTCCGAGTCATGACTCGAAGGGTCCTTGATAAGACCCTTATTCATCATCTGGAATTGTTTAAAGCCCTTTGAACAGTTTGCACTGAAACTCTCATTTGGACCTTGAACCGTTTGGTTCCCATTGAAGTCCATTATATGGAGAAAAATCCTGTAATGTTTTCATCAAAAACCTTAATTTCTTTTCGACTGAAGAAAGAAAGACATGGACATCTTGGATGACATGGGGGTGAGTAAATTATCAGCAAACTTTTACTTTAAATTGTTATGTACCAATGGTAATATTTCCTCTCAACACACACCCTTTTTCTCTCCGAGTAAATAACTTTAGTACATTTTGAGGTAAATCATTACGCTTTGCCCTATATTTGTCTGTAAATCCACCAAATCTTTAAAATTTAATAATTTGGACTCCATAAAAATATATATTGGTATGTTTCCTTTAACCTGCCCCATTAATGATCCTTAAAGCTCTCTTCTGTAAAATGACTGAACTGTTGTTGTAATCGTTTCCCCACATGTCTACGCAAAACTAATGAACAATAGAGCATACGTAAAGACTTCTGATTTAAAACTTGCCTTGCTCTACTCCTTAACATGACTAATGTGAGGTTTCCAGTTCACTTTATTATCCATTTCCACTTGATTTGTGCTGTTTTGCTCAGATAAACATGTACCTGCTGTCCCGGATTCTCTTCGCCTTGTCTCGTCTCGCAGTGGAAAAGGGCTGGATCCCGCAGCCCAAGAACGACCCGTTCCCCCTGTTCGCCACGCTGGTGTGGGGCGTCGTACTCTGGTTGTTTGAGTATCACCCACACACACTTCAGCCGTCCTTGCAGTCCTCCATGAACTACCTCTACCACGACAGCAACACATGGCACGACATTTCAGACTTTCTCATCTATAACAAACCCAAAAACAACTGAGGGGCGGACTCCTGCGTTCCAGTCTACGTTTGATTGAAGGGTTTAATACTATACCATTATTTGGGGCACGTGTAGAATTCTCAGATTGAACTAAATGACTACTTTGCACATCGGATTATATTCGCTCCACTTTTACACTCGGATGTACTTGCACTTCGGTCATAAAGAAACAGAACATGTTTATGAATTTCTCAACAAAAAAAAAAATTCAGGCCACATTTCACCCGAAAGCATGACAAATGAAATTTGTTTTTAGGACCATCACCATTATGAAAATTTTTTCGTCACATTTTACTTTTGAGCTTTTCCTATTATTCCCTTTAGTTTCTCTGGTGACACTTTGCAATAAGGTTTCATCGGTTAACAGAACTTCACTGCATTAGTTTGCATGAACTAACAGAGCATTTTAATATTTAATATTAGCCTTAACATTTACTTTTTAAGATTAAAAGTAGCGTCTGTTAAGATTAGTTAATGCACTGTGAGCTAACATGGACATTTTGATTAACTAACACTAAGAAAGGTTCATAAATGCTGTAAAAATATTTCTCATTGTTAGTTTAATGCATTAACTATTATAAACAAATGAGACCTTATTGTGAAGTGATACTGTTTCTGACAGTACAACAAATACTGCCATGATGTGTAAATGTAAAAATTAGGGCTGTTAAACGATTAATCACGATTAATCGCATCCAAAATAAAAGTTTGTGTTTACATAATATGTGTACGGTGTATAATTATTTTGTATACAAATGTATATATTTAAGAAATATTTGCATGTATATATATTTATATATCATTGATATTATATATAAATATTTGTATATATTTTTTTTTCTTATACATGCATGTGTGTGTATTTATAAATAGAAAATAATTATACACCGTACACACACATATATTATGTAATCACAAACTTTTATTTTGGATGTTATTAATGGGATTATTTTGGATTTCGCAATTAATCGTTTGACAGCCCTAGTTAAAATACAAAACCCTTTCAAATAAATCCAATTTTTGCATAATAGTTATGAGGAGTGAGAATCACGAAACCTGTCGACTTCATTTTCTCTGTGCAATTTAAATAGTTTGTTTTTTAACTTGTTTTCGGGGGAAATATGACCTGGGCATGTTTTGGTGCTGCACTATTACATAAAACATAACACAACAACCGCAGGCCTTAAAACAAAATAATGACTGTTCATAATTTTTTTTAATTGTAAATAATTAGTCATGTGGGTCCATAGTTTATTCCTGATTCTCTCCACAGCATTGATAAATTGGTTAAGTGCTTTATACATTTTATTCTTTTGCTGATTGCAAAACTTTTAATAATTTTAATGCAAAGTATAAGTGGAAATTCACGAGTAATTTTTTTCCATGCGTTATGTTGGTGCAGATTTGATGGAAGAATGAATGTATTAATTGATTAAATACAGTACCAGAATATATGCGTGAGTCATTAATAATGTTAGAAATATATTTATTATCCATAGTTTCCCATATGTATTAAAACTGTATGAAATGAACCCTACTTGCGGTCAAATTTGCATCTTTATTTTCAACAATCGCTGGGATCAGATCATGTGCCGAATGTGTTCCAGAATCAAACACAAACTTAAGTTCAAATGTAGATCTATGATCCGCATGCCGGGTATATATCGCTTAAACATATTTTATTAAATCTATTTCTGGTTTAAATACTCTTTGGAAATGATATTACCCAGCAAACGTTTTTGTCAACCCTGAATCCATTTTAGTGTATTTATCTATCTCTAAAGCAAACTTTAATAACCTTATGATATCGTTTTTTAAATGGCCATTTTATGGTATTTTAACATGTTTCTCGTCATAAAAAGATGAAGTTGAAAAATTAAAATGTTAAAAGAAGTTGTAATTTAAAATTTAAAAAATGTAATTTAAAATTTAATCCCAAATTCAACTTTTACTTTCAACTGTAATTTTTTTAACTGTAATTTTTTTTTTGTCCATATTTGACCCAAATTTGGGTTGAAACAACCCATCATTTTTTGGAGTGTGTATATATATATATATATATATATGGGTATATATAATTATGGGTTTGGTCAAATATGGATAATGTTAGAAATATATTATAAATTTTTATATATATATATATATATATATATGAAAAAAATACTTTTAAAAATTGAGCCAAAATTATTGACTATTGAAAGTCAACAATAAGCTTAGTTTTGTAACATTTATTTATAATCACAAATGTATGATAAATTACACCGTACACAATTTATTTTTTATTTTAATTGAATGTTTTAAATAAACAAAAAATGAATTGGCTTGTTAAGTCAACAAGACAATAATAGTCAAATAAAAGTCAATAATAAAAGCAAAGTTTTAAGTCCTTAAGGCTGAAATACTTTGAAGGTTAAAATAAAACGTGTCAATCAAATAATAATAAAAAGTTAAGAAGCATTTGTTTCAGCAGTTCTTGAGGAAAGTACACTATCTCTAACATAATATACGTAAAAAATACACTGTAAAAAATATATTGTTGGTTTAACTTAACTTAAAAAATTAAGTAACCTGGTTGCCTTAAAATTTTAAGTTGACTGAACCGTAAAAAGTGAGTTAATACAAAGAAGGAGATTAATTTAATCATCAGAAACTCAAAAATAATAAGTTATCTCAACTAGATAAATTATTTAAGTTAATTTGACAAAAGAAATTTTTTTTTTACAGTGTTTAATTTGTAAAGAAGCAGACTTTCATCATCAGACACCTTTGGTGTGATTTCAGTGGGACAGTCGTGTCTCTATAGGACTACTTTCATGCCATTGTGTTCAGCAAGGCCAATATAAACCACTGGAGCATCAATCACTTTGATTGAGGTCTTTGAGTCATTTCAGAAACCTGCATTATGAGATGGCAAAACTGAAGGTGTGTTTATATAGGGACGGGCCTCAGATTAGCAACAGTGTCTGTGCATTAATTACCTCCATTACTATAAGCTGTTCGACACGTCTGTAAATTCTTTAGAAAGTCCAATCCTGTTGTTATATTAATCATGAAAACACAATTCCACTGTCGTTTTTATTTAGTTAAAATTTTAGTACACAAAAAAATGCTGGGTTGTTTAAACCCAATTTTGGGTCAAATATGGACAAACCCAAATGTTGGGTTAAAAATGTAATTTAAAATTTTAACCCAACTGCAACTCTCACCCAACCCAACCCATCTCAACCCAACATTTGGGTTTGTCCATATTTGACCCAAAATTGGGTTAAAATAACCCAGCATTTTTAGAGTGTTTTGTCTGGTTTTTGTTTGTCTATAGCTTTTATTAATTTTTCTTTCACTTTTTGTTATTTTAGAACATCAAGTTAAACTAAATGAAAATGAGAAATGTTGCTTTGGCAATAGCCGAAATAAAATAAAATACATTTTTATATACACTCTAAACAATGCTGGGTTGTTTAACCCAAATTTGGGTCAAATATTGACAAACCCAAATGTTGGGTTTAAAATGTAATTTAAAATTTTAACTCTCACTTTCAACTGTACATTTTTTGTATTACATTTTTAACCCAACATTTGGGTTTGTCCATATTTGACCCAAATTTGGGTTGAAACAACCCAGGATTTTTTTTAGAGAAATATTATTCAATTCTTTTTTTTTTATTTAAAGCAACAAAAAATGTTTTGGGCTAATAATAGTGTTTATTCTCTCACTGTTATTATGCTTCTGTATGTATTATAAAATATAATAAAACATAATTTTGCTGTTTATCAGCATGTTCTGTATAATGTACACTCTTGAGTTCTTATTGCTATAAAAAGTATTGAACCAAAAAAAAATTTTTTTTTTTTATGGCTTTAGTTCAGTAACTATAATAACCTGTCGTTCAGGCCACATTAAATTTATAAACTGACACATTTATAACGAATTCTTGCTGACCATTTTCTCACGTTGGCTTTTTAGAGATTACAGTCTTCGATAATTATTGTGAAATCCTCTAAAAAGTGTGGTATATGCAGGGACTCTTGTGTCATAGAGTATTTCATAATCCTCCCAGCGAATGAGAGTGTCATGATCCGAGTTCTTTGGAAAATGGGCCGAGTAGAGTAGAGGAGTGATGGGTGTCACCACACCTTCTGCGTGGCAGATCTGGTGTGTGACCGATGCTTATATTCACAGTGTGGGTGTGTCATCTAAAGCACTTTTCATGACTGAGATCACAATCTCTATAGAACGCAGATTTATTATTCACTCAATGAAAACATCACACAAATCCTTTTATACCACTTTATGGCTCATTGTTAGTCATCTATGAGGTTAATCACATGAAACCTGTTAAGAACAAAACATTTCACCTCATAAATAAAAGATTGCATTTTGTTAAATGCATTAATTTTGCTCAAATTATGCATTTTTATTTAGATTTTTCTAAATGAGATCTATTTATCATAATGTAATGCATAAATGATGTGCACGGTAATAAAAGTATACATTTGGTGGCTCTAATTCTACACCCAGTCCATTTATAAATAGAAAATAAAATTGGTCCCAAAATAGATCCTTGAGGAACACATCTGCCTTTATTGGAATTATAATTATTGACACGCACTGTTTTTCCAGTCAGCTAGTTTTAAAACCACTTGTATTACTAAACCTACATTTGAGCCTTTGCAAAAGAACAATCGAATGCTTTGGATAAATTAATATAAAAGGAGTAGTTCACTTTAAAAAAAAAAAAACTTTGCTGATAATTTACTCACCCCCATGTCATCCAAGATGTCCATGTCTTTCTTTCTTCAATCGAAAAGAAATTAAGGTTTTTGATGAAAACATTCCAGGATTTTTCTCCATATAATGGACTTCAATGGGGACCAAACGGTTAAAGGTCCAAAAGACACTTTCAGTGCAAACTGCAAACTGTTCAAAGGGCTTTAAATGATTCCAGACGATGAATAAGGGTCTTATCAAGCGAAACGATCGCTCATTTAATAAATAAATAACAAAGTTTAAGTTTTATAAGCTCAAATGCTCGCCTTGCTCTGTTCTGTGATGCGCGTTCGTGATTCTCGCGTTCGAACTCGTTCATCAAAATAAACGAATCTCTTCCCGAGTCAATTCGTTCATTTCGTTCTTTGAATGAACCAAATGACACGAAAAAAGATTCGTTCATTTTGATAAACGAGTTCGAACAGGAGAGTCACACAGAACAGAGCAAGGCGAGCATTTGAGCTTATAAAACTTAAACTTTGTTTTTGTTTTTTTAAATGAGCGATCGTTTCGCTTGATAAGACAATCGTCTGCAATCGTTTAAAGCCCTTTGAACAGTTTGCAGTTTGTACTGCGACCTTGAACCGTTTGGACCCCATTGAAGTCCATTATATGGAGAAAAATCCTAGAATGTTTTCATCAAAAACCTTAATTTCTTTTCGACTGAAGAAAGAATGACAGGAGTGAACTACTCCTTTTATCTTTAAGATGAAACAACTCAGCATTTTTTAAATTGCAATCTCACCTTTGCCACAATAAAATGCAGATGTGTGATTACATGCAAATGCATGTCTCATTGTGTGAGTGCACACACTGCATCCACCCTCTGAAACACACAGCGCTCTTTGATTGTGTAACTTTCAGGTGACTTCTTTTGAAAGTGGTCTGACGTCTCAGGGAGGGGTGCAGGAATGTCATATAAAGCACAACAAACGTAGAAGCTGAATCTCACAGCAAACGGCAGCACACCAGCACTCATGGACGGTGAGCTTCAACTCTGATTTATTCATTTTTTACTGTTTTACTAACAAGGCATTTTCTTAAACCTTAAAAATTGTGCTATTCATGGTTGTGTTTTTAAAGAAATTGCTGCTTTAATATTTTCTATGCATGATCAGATTTATGCTGCTATAATTTTTAGATATATAGTTGTTTATAAATGATTAATTGCTATTAATTTTATTAATATCCTTCAATGTTTGTATGGACTTCAATGTTGTATTTTTATTTTGAAAAATATGATTGAAAGTTAAATTTTATTAAATAGGAATTATATTATCTACATAAACATTTTATTTTCAGTAATTAGCTATTTATTTTTTAATTATTTCTATTTTTATCTCAACAATTTTCAGCTGCTTCACAAATAATTTGCTCATTTGTCTGCAGAGTTGAAGCTTCGAAATGTCCACCTGCAGCAGGTCCAGAACCAGATCCGGCACCGGACGGACGGTCTGAGCTCCAGCTCTCTGGTGCTGCGACGAGGACAGCCCTTCACCATCCTCATCGGCTATGATGGACGGCCATTCGATCCACTGAAGGACAAACTGGTCTTCCGGATTGTTCTAGGTGTGTGTGTGTGTGTGTGTGTGTGTGTGTGTAAAATAAACGTAAAGCCTAATCTCACTCTTTCTGCATTATGATTCATCAGTTAATCATATTTTCCAAATAGCTTGCATCAGCATGGATCTGTGCATTGTGAAATGAATTCAATTTAATTTATATATATATATATATATGAAGAGTTCAGATGCAAAAGCCTCTAAATGCTATTTGAAATTTTCTTCTTTAATGATGATTTTTATCAAACTTGTATATTTAAGTTCAGTAATTTTAATTATCATTGCCATTTAAGTGAAATTACTGAACTTAAATATACAAGTTTGATAAAAATCATCATTAAAGAAGAAAATTTCAAATGGCATTTAGAGGCTTTTGCATCTGAACTCTTCATATATATATAAACCTGGATTTTGTGTATTTAAAACGCATTCAGTTTATTAGCACCATTAAAGAAATCTTACCTGTTTCAGTGTGACTAACAAGTATGCATCACATTAGGTTTATTAGTTTGTTCAGTTTAAGACTGTTTAATTCAAATAGATCAAAATGCATAAATCTTAAATTTAGGCCTAAATGTTTTTTGAGTGAATCCTGCTCAATTGAGCTCATGAACTGACAAGCAAAGCAAAGAAAGTGTTTGTAAAGTGTACTACTACATATATATATATATATATAAATTTTATTTTATGAGGTAATTTATTCATCCCATAATAAAGTTAAAGTTAACCTTCTATAAAAAATATAGAAATCAGTTAAAAATGTATATATTGACTTTAAGTCATTTAGGTTTATTCCAAAACATGCAAATAAAAAAGTTTTTTAGCACTATATTTTACAGTCTTGTTCCCCATGTATACTATACTTGTAATAGTAAGAGCAATAACTAGGTACTAACCCTGAACCTACCCGTAAACCTAACCATAACCCATGTAGTTACCTTATATTAATTATTGTGTCCTTTTTCTTTAAGATAAACACAAAATTGCACGCACTGTAAAATAAAGTGCAACCAAAGTATTAGGACAGATTGCATTTAGGACACTAAATGATGGGTTGTTTTAACCCAATTTTGGGTAAAATATGGACATCGTTGAAAAAGTTGTGTTAAAAATGTAATTAAAAAAATGTAACCCAATGGCTGGGTTTGTCCATATTTGACCCAAAATTGGGTTAAAACAACCCAGCATTTTTAGAGTGTATTTCTAAACAGCTCAGAGCTTATACTGAGTCAGTCTTGAAAGGTTATTGATAAATTTCTTTATGGAGAGCATGAGTAGTGTTTGACTTCCAGAGCCTGTTTTTGAGTTTAAGTCTGAAACCGACTGCACTGTGTTCACCGCAGGGCCGCAGTCTGTGGAGATCCCGGTCTCAATGTCTGGAAACCCTTCTCTGTCTCAATGGAGTGCCGTTCTGGAGAGGAGCGTGCTGGACCCGAACGCGGGCCGTACGCAGGCCGTATCACTGTTCAGCCCTGCGTCTTCCTCTGTGGGAGTCTATACACTTCAGCTGAGAGTCGAGACCCGCGGGACCATCAAAACACACGTGCTGGGACAGTTCACGCTCCTCTGCAACCCCTGGTGTCAAGGTGAGCAGGATGGACAACTATAGTAGTTCTGGTGAACACAAAAGAAGATATTTTGCTAAACTGGTGTTGGTCCCCATTGACTTCTATAGAGTTTTTTGATACTATGGAAGTCAATGGGGTCCAAAAATGTCCGGTTACTAACATTCTTCAAAATATCTTCTTTTGTGTTTAACATAACTAAAAAACGCATTCAAGTCACTATGATATTCTGGTCTCTTGATAGGCTTAGAAATTTATCTCCTCAACAAGACATGTAGTTTGAGAAATCATTCATGGTTTTAGGACTCAATCTTATTCAGCATAATATTTATATTATTTGAATATAAATGAATAATTTCTGCTTTAAAATCTGATTGGTCAAAGTTAATATACACACTGTGAGCTAATAAACTATAATGCATGGTGAAAATTATTTTAAAGAATATTATTATAAGTTTGGTGTCTGTAAGAGTTTTTAACGTTTTTGTCTCTCATGCATTTATTTGATTTAAAAAAAATACAGTAAAACAGTCAAAATATTATTACAATCTAAAATAGCTGTTATGTGAATATATAGTAAAGTGTAATTTATTCCTGTGATCAAAGCACTCCAGTCTTCAGTGTCACATGATCCTTCAGAAATCACTCTTATGATGATTATCTGCTCAAGAAACATTTATGATTATTATCAGTGTTGAAAACAGCTTCAGATTTTTGAGGAAACCTGCATTTTCAGTATTCTTTGATGAATAGAAAGTTCAGAAGAACAGCATTTATTTGAAATAGAAATATTTTGCAACATCATTAATGTTTAATGTCTCTTCTGATCCTTTTAATGTCCTCGCTGAATAAAAGTAAAAAATTAAATCTGACCCCAAACTTTTGAACTGTATATAGACCTTATGTAGCCCCGCCCCTTTTCAGCGTTGCGCTCGGGTTTTATTTTGACAGCGATCTTGCATGAATGAACTGCTCGTAAAAAAATTCCTGGTCGACATTTGTTAAGACATCTGTTACAATGCTTATGATAAACATTACAATGCTCATGATAACTTTTGTTAACTCTACAATAAGTAAATCCACTTCACCAGACAGCGATGCCAAGGGACTTTAAGCAACAGCCTCTTGTGGAACGGCAACGGCATTCTGGCGTTCTATTACGCATGCGCGACATTAACTGCTACTCCGCGACGTTCTACTGTAACCGTCTACTACGGGTGAACAGCTGATTTGCCGTAGTCGATACTACGTGACAGATTAAGACAGTTAAGGTTATGTTTTAGGTTATGTGGCATTGAAATCGTTCCTGTATATCATTAAGTGCTAAAATCAACCCTTCTCTTACTTTTTAAAATCACTTTCTTTTTTGTATTTTGTCTGATGATTAAATTATCCCCATATGCCGTCGTCTTTACTGTTGCTTAGTGATTTTTGCGCTCTTTAGCTACGGCAGTTAACCGTTTACTTCCGGCTGCCGTCGCCGTTCTATCAACAGCTGTTGCTTAAAATCCCTATTTTTACAGAGCGACCGCGAAACCGGAAGTTCAAAGACAATATTCTAAAGATGACGGCGCCCACATAGAACTTGCTGTGGTAAAATCCCTGTAAAGCATGGCTTTTTTGCTTTCATTAGTTGTCATTATCCCAAGCTCTCCCTCTTCTGTACTCTGCAGCGGACTCCGTGTTCCTGCCGTCTGAGGATCTGAGGGATGAATACATCAGGAATGACTTCGGCCTGCTGTTTAAAGGCAGTCCCGGGAACGTCGTCTCCAGACCCTGGTCTTTCGGTCAGGTGAGATGATTGACTGTTGACTGATGGCACATCTCTGAAAAACGGCTTCTCATTAAAGGTGCAGTGTGTAATATTTAGGAGGATCTGTTGACAGAAATGCAATATCATATACATAACTGAGTTTTCAGTGGTGTATGAAGACCTTACTTAATTATTAGCATATAATGAGCCATTTCTATCTATACACCGCGGATCCGCTTACATTGAAATGCCCCGACATGTTTCTACGGTGGCCCTAAATAGACAAACGCGTTTCATCACTATGTTGTTCTTCGTGCGAAAAAGCAAACTAGTAACAAGAAGTAACAATAATCACAACAACATATCGTTTTACTGATTAATTAAAGGGGTGGTTGATTATGATTTCAATTTTCGAACTGTAGTTAGTGTGTAATGTTGCTGTTTGAGGATAAACCACATGCTCAAAGTACAAAGCAAAGGAAGATATTTGCTTTTAAAGAAACTACAGCAAATGGCTGGTAGGAACTACACGAGCTTCCTCCCGGGTTAGTGACATCACTAACCCTAAAATTTACATAAACCCCGCCCCCGGGAACACAATCCATGTGGAGAAGAGGAAGAGCTGTTGTGGTCGAGCACATTTGTGAGTCACATGCAATAGAGAGTCACTCTGTGTGCGAGCGATACGAGCGATTTATAGATTATCCTGCCAGAATATGCTAATTGAAGATCCACGTCAGCAACATAAATTCATCAACTAACCGTTCAGAGACGTCTACATGTTGTCACTTCTTCTTAGTCGCTCCATCTTTGTCTGACTCCGGTTTAAACATAAAAGACAGAGAACAGTTTCTGACATTTTAGCGTGTGACTGCGTGAGGTAATCGGCGCTGCTAACACACTCACTCTTAAAGCTCCGCCCCCTGTGTCGGGAGCTGCAGCTCATTTGCATTTAAAGGGACAGACACAAAATGGTGCGTTTTTGCTAACTCTCATAAAGTGACAACTTTAACATGCTATATAAAAATATATGTGAGGTATTTTGAGCTAAAACTTCACATACACACTCTGGGGACATCAGAGATTTATTTTACATCTTGTGAAAAGGGCATTCCACCACCCCTTTAAGTGAACGTAATTTTTTTATTTAACTGGCTACTCTCTGCGTTCTCAGACGACGACATTATTTCCCAGTAGCACCTCAATGCAGAACATGAGATCCACGGGGAGGAGTCGGATCACGATCCAAGGGGTGGAGATGGATAGGATTAGGGTTGGGTTTAGGGATCAGGGGGCGGAGTTGGGTAGGTTTAGGTGCATGTAAGGTGGGAGGAGTTGGATCTGGATCCGACTCCTCCCCATGGATTTCATGTTCTGCAGTCAGGACCATCTCTTATTTTTCTTATTTCACAACCTCACCACTAGATGCCGCTAAAGATTACAATGATTTAACACCCTGACGCGCATGTATTTTCAGTATGAAAAGGGAATACTGGACATCTGTATGAAGTTGCTGGAGTTGAGTCCTCAATCTCAAGCCGACACGAGGAGAGATCTTCAGAACCGCAGCAGTCCGGTGTACATCAGCCGTGTGATCTCAGCTATGGTGAGGAGGATCTCCTCTCTTTCTCTGCCCTCCGTTCTCTCTCTCTCCATGTGTTCATGTAGTCTCTCTATCGTCCTCATCAGGTGAACTGTCAGGATGATAAAGGGGTGTTAATGGGGAACTGGTCAGGAAAGTACAGCGATGGTGTAAACCCCTCCACGTGGTCCGGAAGTGCGGATATTCTCAGGATGTGGGCAGAAAGACACTTCAGCCCTGTGAAATACGGACAGTGCTGGGTGTTCGCTGCTGTCATGTGTACAGGTGCGACCAATATGAGTTCTTACACTACCATGAATATCTTTTTTTTTTTAAATAAATTAATATTTTTATTTATCAAGGATGCATTAAATTGATCAAAAGTGGCAGTCATTTATTATTAGGGGTTTCAAACGATTAATCGCGATTAATCGCATCCAAAATAAAAGTTTGTGTTTACATAATATATGTGGGTGCACTGTGTATAATTATTTATATATAAATTCACACATGCTTGTATATATTTAAGAAATATTTTCATGTACTGTATATAGATTTATATATTATTTATATGATTTGTAAATATAAATATTTTATATATAAATAATATTTTTTTCTTAAATATATATGCATGTGTGTGTATTTACATATATATATACACAAAATAATTATACACAGTGCACCCACATATATTATGTAAACACAAACTTTTATTTTGGATGCGATTAATCGCGATTAATCGTTTGACAGCCCTATTTATAATGTTACAAAAGATTTCCGTTTCAAATAAATGCTGTTGTTTTGAACTTTCTGTTCATCAAATGCGTCACAGTTTTCACAAAAATATGAACTGTTTTCAACACTGATAACAATCAGAAATATTTCTTGAGCAGCAAATCATGTGACACTGAAGACTGGAGTAAAAGTCAGCTTTGATCACAGGAATAAATTACATTTTACAATATATTCACATAGAAAACATCTGTTTTAAATTGCAATAATATATCACTGTATTTTTGATCAATAAATGCTGCCTTGATTATCATTAGAGGCTTCTTTTAAAAAAAAAAAAACAGTTTGAATGGTGCATCTGTAAGTCCTTTACAGTTTTAATTTACCCAAAAATCTTATAAACCTGTATGCTGTTATTTTCTAACACAAAAAGAGATGTTTTAAAGAAAGTTCAAGCTGCTCTTTTTCATGCAGTGAAAATGAATGGTGATTTATACTGCCAATGGCTTTGTATGGAGTAAAATAATCTGTGTTTGGGTCATTGGTAATTGAATTAGTGCTGTTGATGATCAATATATAAAATGCATGTGTTTGTGTAACAGTGATGAGAGTCCTCGGCATTCCAACTCGAGTGATCACCAACTTCAACTCGGCTCACGACACAAACATGAACATGGTGATTGAGGAGTATTACTCAGAGATGGGGGAAAAGCTGTCCATCGGTCGGGATAGTGTCTGGTGAGTTACACTGTGAAAGCAAAAAGATCCTCTTGTCATAGTAATGTTGCTAAAATATTCCCTACCGCTCAAAAATCTGGGGTCAGAAAGATTTATAAATGTTTTTTAAAGTCTCTTCTGATAACCATGGCTGCATTTATTTGATCAAAAATGCAGTAAAAAGAGTGAAATATTATTACAATAATAAATAACCGTTTTCTATTTGATTATGTTTTAAAATGTAATTTATTCCTGTGATCAAAGCTGAATTTTCAGCATCAATACTCCAATCTTTAGCTTCACGTGATCCTTCAGAAATCACTCTAATATGAGGATTTGATGCTTTATATTTTTGTGAAAACTGTGATTTTCTTCAACCGTAATGAATAAAAAACGTTCAAGATAACAACATTTATTTGTAATAAAAATCTTTTCTAACAGTATAAAGGTCTTTATTGTCACTTTTGATCAATTTAATGCATTCTTGCTGAATAAAACATTTATTTGCAATAGAAATCTTTTCTAACATTATAAAGGTCTTTATTGTCACTTTCGATCAATTTAATGCATTCTTGCTGAATAAAATTATTAATTTATTCCAAAAAAAAAAAAAAATCTCACTGACCTTGAACTTTCGAACGGTTATGTACTTATTTTTTGTGTGTGTTTCTTTAAAAGTTTTTAAGCTGTGCTCCATATTAATATTCAGTACCTTTACAAATAAACCTGAATTGTTTGCGGTTGAAAGGAGCAATACATTGCATTTTTAATCTGACAAAATGTGAGTAAACAGTGTTTGGGCTTCTTCAGGAACTTCCATGTGTGGGTGGAGAGTTGGATGAAGAGGCCTGATCTGGACGGAGGTTATGACGGCTGGCAGGTTCTTGACCCCACGCCACAAGAGATGAGCGCCGGTTGGTCAATGCTAATGCATATAATGCTTTTATATCCCTGAATGCCGATAAGAGCATGTTTTATGATGCTGTCGATGCTAAAAGCTGATCTGAATCTGTCACAGGAACGTACCGCTGTGGTCCTGCGGCTGTGAAAGCCGTTCATGAGCAGAAGGTGAGCGCGCCGTACGACGTACCCTTCGTTTACGCAGAAGTCAATGCAGATGTGCGGAGAATGATCATCAAAGATGGGAGGATATTAGCGACCAGCGTTGACAAAGACTCAGTCGGAGCCCTGATCTGCACCAAACGCCCCGGAGCCATGCTCATGCAGGACGTCACGTCAGAATACAAAACTGAGGGTGAGAGAAACACTGAGAAACAATAAGAAATGTGTTCAATAGATTTTTATACAAAAAACAACAACAACTGATTTCTTTCTCATTTAGATAGAAGATCGTTCAGCAGTGACGGTAAGTCATTTGATATTTCTATTTTTTAAGATGAGGTGTGTAATTCATATCAGCAAAATATAAGAATGGATGATGACTTTGAGGAAATATTTTAAAATAAACTCAACGTCAATCAAAGTCTAGTTTAAAAGTCCCCCCAAAAAATTCTAAACACATTATTAATGTTAGAAATGTATTCCTAAAACATATTACAAAGACTGTGAACTGTGAAGAATTGTGGAGTTAGACCGTTAAACAGTTTTTTATTTTTTCAAAATAATATTTTTAGTGATTTTTATGCTTTTTAACGAGAGATAAACAAAGAAAAAATGCATATATTTATATATAAAATATATATATATTTTTTTTACATATTGCCAGATATCATGATGAGTATTTATTACCCTCTGAATACAATTATGCTCACACCAAGATAAAAAATAAATAAAATATATATATATATATACATATCTTCATATTTTAATGTTTTATATGTACACAATTTTGATGATATTTTTATTTAGATATTTATTATTGATTATATTTTCTGTAATATTCTCTTGCAGTTCGAGGTGGTGGAGATACTCCTAGAAATTTCGGTAGGCTACGTTTTAGTATTTGGCTTTTCTTCCCACATTAATAATGCTCTTTTGATTGTTTAATATAACAAGTGATGTCTTTTCATGCAGTTCTTCAGGGCATTAATATGAGATGTCAAGATGAGAAAAGTATTTCTTACTCTCTGAATACAATTGTGTATGCTCACACCAAGAGAAAAAGAAATAAATGAAATAAATATATATATATTAGGGCTGTCAAACGATTAATCGCATCCAAAATAAAAGTTTGTGTTTACATAATATATGTGGGTGCACTGTGTATAATTATTTTATATATATAAATATAAAAATATTTTCATGTATATACTGTATATAGATTTTTATATAATTTATATTATATATAAATATAAATAGTTTATATATAAATAATATTTTTTCTGAAATATACATGCATTGTGTGTATTTACATATATACAAAATAATTATACACAGTGACTTTTATTTTGGATGCGATTAATTGCGATTAATCGCTTGACACCCCTAATATATATACAGTATATATATATATATACAAAAGTATTCACAATTAATAATAATACAAAAATAAGTGTCCAAAAGTGTTGTCGAGTCTAAAATTGGCAGTCGTTTATTTAAATTGGAATACAAATTCGTTAAAGATTTTGTTAGCATATATTGCATTGTTGTGCTTGAAGTCCATCGTTTTTTGGGGATAAGAACACAATGAAATATGCCAAACTCTGCAGACATAAGTTTTGGCCAGGCTGTCAAAGAAATAAACACATGCACAAACAAGAGAGAACCAACTAAATATTAATAACTGGTTATGTTTTAGTCAATGCATGCTTTTTCCTGTCTCAGTCTTTTGCTTTCTATGCAGTTGTCTGAATAAAACTAAAAATGTAGCTGTAGTTTCACTTTTTTAGTTTTGTTCTTCCCTCATTTTTAAAATGTATGAAATATTTTCCACACATTTTTATGCTTTAATCAAGTGGGTTATCTTTAATAGATATTTATTTATACATTTTTTACTATTTAAATATCTTCATCTAAAACAATACTCTCTTCCAGCCCGAAGTGGTGAAGGTGCTAATGGAAGAGGTACGTTTCAGCATTTGGTTTTTCTTCCCACATTAATAATGCTCTGTGATTGTATGAGTGATTCTTCATGTCTCTTCATGCAGCTCCTCAGGGCGTTAGAGTTTCTCTCCAGCTTCTGAAAGCCCCTGTGGTCGGAGAAAACCTTTCTTTCAACGTCATAATCACTAACAACGAAGCAATGCCAAAACTGCTGAGGAAACACGTGAACGCTCAGAACAAAGAGTTCAACCGTAATCCCACTGGAACCTTCTGGGAGGCTCATGACGATATGAAGATCGGCCCGCGTGAAAGTAAGAAGTGCTTAAATATGAGTTAAAATGAACTTAGGAGTAGTTGTTTTCCACAGTTACTCTGATGTAGGGGTGGGCAATTTGACAAAAATGTAATATCACGATTAAAATAACAGTAATAACTTACAAAATTACATTTGAAATTGAGAAAACCCCAACTTTTCTTATTTTTAATTTAACTGGACGGCACTCGCATGCATCATGTGACTAAATTCATGTGACACGTTTTTCATGGAATGCACACTACATTAAATACTTTTTTTTTAAATAGGACCTATGATGCTTTTGTTCATGTTGATCTTTCTTTAGTGTGTAATGTTGCTGAGTGTTTGTGAACTCCTGAAACGCCTCCATTGTAGTCTTGAGTTTGAACACGTCACAATATTCCTCATTATAATAATTTATGCGCAGAATAAAGGGGCGGGGCCTGGTTGAGTTAGTAGTGTGTTAAACTGGTGGTTATGGTGAGAGCGGGACATCCCAAACACACTCGAAGCGCTCGACCAATCACAACACACTGATCCAGTCGACCAATCAGAGCACAGTGTGCTTTTCAGGAGGAGGGGCTTCATAGAGACAGGAAGTGAACAGAGCGTTACTGACAGACTGGGAAGAGTTATGTTTATTTATATAGCACTTTATATGATACAGATATTTTCAAAGCAGCTTTACAGTGATAAAAGATACATTTTTGATTATTTTTATTATTAAATACTTATACATTTTTATTTTTGATCATCAAATCTGAGTTCATTTCGGCTGTGAAGTATCTCTTAAAAGAAATAGTGCCATTGTTCAGTTAAGTGTTGATTCAGTTCCATTGTACAGATCCTCAATTATTAATTTAGCTCATTAATCTCTAAAGCAGTTCTGTAGAAAACAGCTGCAACAATCATTCAGGCATGAAAACCTTTTCTAGTCGAGCCCAAAAACAAGATCAAAACTTTGTAAAAGGGCATAATATGGCCTTTAAAAAAATAGTAGACACTGCAGTGAACTAGGATTCCTTTCTGAACACAGATAACATATGTAAAACGCATTTCTACGCCCATCTGGATATTATTGGATATGATTTTGACTACCACAAAAATGTGTTGAAATGATTGATTAGGAATTGCGCAATCAACTCGTCTGTTGTTCTCCACCAGCTGTGACTGTAAAACACGAGATCTCCTTCAACAAGTACATGCTGAACGAGGCGATGGAGGATTGCTTGGTTAACCTGTCGGTGGTTATAGAGGATGTGAATTCTCAGGAGAGAGTGCTGGCTTCAGAAGAGTTTAACATCAGCAGCCCTCACCTCAATATACAGGTACTGGTGGCCCATCAGAGACATCATATAAATATATATATATATATATATATATATACACACGCACACACACAAAGAAAACTTTAGATGGACTCTAAGTTGTTGCATCTGTTGCATCTGGAGTCTTCATATATATATATATATATATATATATATATATACATAACATATATATATATATATATATATATATATATATATATATATATATATATATACGATAGATAGATAGATAGATAGATAGATAGATAGATAGATAGATAGATAGATAGATAGATAGATAGATAGATAGATAGATAGATAGATAGATAGAACACACACACATAAACTTTAGATGGCCTTAGAGGCTTTTGCATCTGAAATCTTCATATATATGTATACATGTATATATGTGTGTATATATATATATATATATATATACACCTATATATATATATATATAGGGATACACCGACATGAACAATTTGGCCGAAACCGATAATTATTTATATTTGTAAGCCGATTACCAGTATTATTGGTCAATAAATCTACATTTTTATATAATTTTTGAGAGCCTGATTACAAAAACAAAATTCTCAACATTAAAATCCATGTCCCAAGCACACAATTATGATATGACATCATAATTTATGTGGCTGATATTTAGCCTTTTTTGAAGTGTTTCCAATAATTTTTTAAGCAATTTAGAACCATCATGGTGAACAGTGCACATCTGAAGAGTCTCAGCGGAAGGAAATAATTCAGTATTTATCGGCTTTAATATATTGGCCAACTTTTCTTATTGGGGCGAAAACGATAATAATAAAAATTGACATACTTATATAGTGGCCGATATATAGTGCATCTCATATATATATTATATATATATATATATAAACCTCCTTTCATAGACAAAACAGCATATGTTGACATTAAGAAACAGCACAATGTTTGTTTTGTGACTAAATTAAAGGTTTCAGGTTGTTTTTGCATCACTCCAAGATCATAGGATATTATAAAAAAGGATATCGTTTCGATTTTTGGCACAACTGAATTCAGAAGTAATACAGCAATTGAATTTTTCTGTTTTCTTCCAGATTCAAAACGAGCACTCGGTCATCATTAACACACAGCAAGTTGCCACGATATCCTTTACCAACCCGTTCAGCGTTGCCGTGAGCGGTGACCTCATCGTAGTGGGTTCAGGACTCCTGGAGGAGAAGGTTCAGACGAGGTACATGAAGTGTTTCATTTTTTTAGTTTTTAGAGTGATCGATCACCAAATGAATGCACAAAAATAACCATGTAATTCAGTAAAATTACTGTTTTCGGACAGGTTTCTTTGCCATTGGTCAGACAAAAAGATAGCTCCGCCCCAAACACGCACCATTGGTTGATACTTGATACAGTGTGTTGGGCTGATGCTCGAACAAAACTATACAAACTGATAGAATAGTGACTTTTCTTAGATACATAATAAAATAATCATTTAAAAAGTAAACAGAAGGGCAGAAATATCCTTCCACTGTTTAAAAAAGATCCCATTTTGATTTAACAGTGGTAACATTCACTGTATAATAACTTTGGTGTTTTAATTTAGCACACACACACAAGATTCCCATGGTATATTTAGCGCACATACCTGACTCTGAAGGGCGTCTAACAGTCGCGTTCATACATTATTATCTGTATAGAGGGTGGGGTTGTTCCTGACATCTTTGACATTTTTATCTTGTTTATCTCTGACATCAGTTTCACTGCAGCCGTGTGTGTTAAAGGGTCAGTACACACTTGTCAGCCTGCATTTCTGAAGCACTTTATTACATCAGTTTCTCACTGTGTATTGTGTAATCACATGCATAAAACAGAAACTTTAGTGAACGTTAATCTTGTGTGTTAAACCTACAGATTTACCCCATTATACAATATAATCTCTGAGACTTAGTAGTTGAGCTGCAGAATTAAAGTTAATCTTAAATGTAAATTAAAGCCAGGATCAAAATGATGCTTTAAATGCAAGTTTGTTTACGTTTAACATAATGATTATGTTAATATAAAATGCAACATAATTATTGTAGATTTAAGATGAATCCTTATTGTTTGTGAGTAAATCCCTAACCGTAGTAATAGTGATTTTGAAATGTCCTGTTCTTTATATCTCAGGCTTACGATCCAGCCTCGAGAAACTATGAGGAGGGCCATCCGTTTCATTCCCACGATGACGGGAGTCAAGATGCTTCACGCTAGTTTAGAGCTGACCAATCCGTCCACCGTTCTCCGTGGATTCAAGACCGTCACTGTTCAAGCAGCTTAGAGGAAAACACCCTTACAGATGATCGATCGCGAACACCGAGAGGTGAAAAGGAAATATGTTTAAATTGTGCTTTTTTTGGACGTTCTTAAATAATATTTAAATTACAAGTGTATAAGTGCATATTGAATGTATTATTCTGAAACAACTTTAGGTATATTAGGTGTATTTCAAGATATGCTTAAAATCAATTTTAAGCCATTTGCAATATAATTAATATATTAAATTAGATGGAACCACTTAAGTGTATTTCTTTACAGCTCATTTAAAATATACTTTCATATTTATTAAATACAATACGGGTGCACTAATGCACAAATAAAACTGAATTAATGTGTAACTAATGAATATCTAAGCTATTCATTAATGATTACCACATTAGGAGTCTGTAAAGTTAATGTCTTAGTTCATACATTAATTGTTATTAATTAAATATGTAATTGTGGATTAATTTTAGTATAACTCATTTTTTTTAACTAATAGTTTTAATTAATATGTTAATTACCAGAATGAGGCAAAGCTTTGTATTTCAACTTCCAGAAAATATGACAGGTACACTAATATGTATTAATATATGATTAATTACTTCATTGTTAGTGCAAATTCATGTGCAAATTACTACAATTACTAAATGACTAGTTAATAATGATGTGCCCCATCAAGTAAAGTCATAACATAATGATACCTTTGCAAATCATTAGCTAATGATTAATTTAAGCAGAAAACTGGAAGTTGAATTGCATAGCTTAGACTAATTGTGGTAATTAACACATTAATTTACACTATTAGTTAATAAAATAGGCTATGTTATTAAGGAATTAATACACAATGACGCATTGAATTAATAGTAATTTATGTATTACTTAATCTATTATTAGTTGCTGATGCAATAATCATTAATTAATGGTTTAGTTCTTCCTAAGTTATATATTAACTCATGATTATCAGTGAATTAATGCATATTAGTGCACCCGTATTGTAAAGTGTTATCAATATATATTTGTAGCTTGATTTTATTGTACTTCAAGAACAGCTCATTAGAAATGTATTCGAATTACACTAATAGTTTATTATAAAATTGTTTCATTCAGTATTCAAAGACATGTTAGTCACAATGATCTTTTTTGTTGTCTCTATTGTATAAGAACTGTTGTACTCGTGTTTACTGGTGGGATTCTCAATGGATCATGTCTGAGATCCTCCGGCCTTGCTTCTTCTTGAGAAATTTTAATATAAGAGCGAAATGTAAGAGCTTGTGTTGTGGCCATTTAAAGCCAGAGAAAGGTCCCACCTTTCAGGGTTGGCTCAACCAATCAGAAAGGGGGGATTTCTAAGCAGGAGATTCCTCTGTTGGGAGGATTTGTGAGTCTTTGTTTTAAGCGTGCTCTTTTGCATGTGCTGGTTGCTGATAATATATTGCCGACATATCATGTACACTATTATTTCGATCTTCAAAATACCAATTTATAGAGACCAAACATGGTATAGGTGAGGTTACATTGACTGTTGGTTCTATCATAAAATACACAGTATCAAAACTAAAAATTAAAAGATGCTACACAAAACAGTAAATCATTCACTCAATTTTCTGGGATGCATGTTCACTTATAGATCAGTTTGTCTATGATTAATGCAGAAAAGTTTGTTTTAAAGTCTGTTTCTGTCTTCTCTGTCTGTGATCACATGTTTAAGCAATAAAACTTATTTGATCGTAGTCATGGTAACCAAAGACCCCAGAGTAAGTTTAAAATATTATTTGTTAACCATAACAAATAATTGTGTCTGATTTGTCTCAGTCGTTACGGAGTATAGGATTAGAGCACCTAGTCGACATTGATGAGTTGACACACTAGTGTATAAATATTACAGGACGTAGTTAGGTTTAGGGAAAAATCTACCACAACACTCAAAATTGAAGCACCTTTAGAAATGATTGCATTTCTTTCAACGTAATTGAATCAATCTGAGTTGTGTGTGCCGAGTTTATATTGAAAAAAGCCTGAAAATAAAGTTATATGTCCATGCATTATGCTTCTTCATTATGCAATGCAATCGGTCCACATGCATTTGCCACCAGAGGGCAGACTAGTGAAGCCGTTCACACCGGAGACTCTCAGGTTCAGTGCACTTACTGTAGTGAAAACATTTCAAACACTGGCATGTTGAAACACATTATCATTTTAGCAAAAGGCTGACAATGTGTCACCGAAGATTATGAGCATTAAATAAAAATAAAAGAGACCACAGGCTACACAAGTCCTTCTTTAACTTGAGGTAGTTTTGTGTCCCATCATGGCTGTATTTTCATTTGACATTCGACAGCGCATTCCTTTTTTTTTACTACTTTTATAATTGATTTCCACCATTATTAAATATCGAACTAAAAGTTTAAAACTCACACCCCGGTTTCCCACACGAACATGCATGTTTGAGTTGTTTTAACTGATAGCAACTTGCACTGAAAACATATCTTAAAATTCATCAGGGCTGTTGTTTTGTCTCAAGATGCACACCACGTTTTTGTCTAAGGCACGTTTATAAAAGCTACTTAAATGTCTAAGATAAACTAAGGCCTAATCCTGGCTTAATCTAAGCCCTGTCTGTGAAACCAGGCCTAAATCTTAAAGACTCTCAGATCCTTATAAAATGAGTCGTGAGAAACAGTTAGTGATGCTAATACTGCTTATTATTCCAAGAAAACGTGATTTTTCCTCTGTATCGAGACTGTTGTCTTCTCTGTGTGTGTGTTTCTCTGGGGTTGGTGTTGTTGTGTTCTCCTCTGACAGCAGATTATTGATCCATCTAATGAAGGCGAAGACTGCTCAGTGCTGCGGCTCTATTGTGTTTCTGTCCCTGAAAGGCTGACAAACACTCATCATGCCACTAACAGAGAACAGTAACACACTCCCAGTTAATCACAATAATGATCTGGCTATACAAGTTTGTGAAGAAATGCTGTTATGAATCAAGTATGATGGGAGCATAAGAAATGCATGAGTGTTATGAATGTTTCCTAGAGACATGAAGCAAATTTGAGCCATTTTTGCTACAACCAATTGCACAGATCATTATCATTTTGACTTACTAGAAGAACACTTACCACTTTTTGTAGTAAATCTAAGGCCACATTTAAATTCCTTAGTTAAAGTGACTCAATTGACCCTTCGCAAAGACCCGCGCTATGTCCGACAAGCTATACGCCGCTCTCAGACGCACGCCGTGAAAATACATCGCGGAGCAGAGAGAAGACTGACAGACAGGACAGACCAGGTTGCTTTTCGTTTACTTTTGATATTAAACATATTAAACAAAGTCTCACCTCTCAAATTTCGTCATTTTTTTAAAAGAAATTTAAACAATAAATACCGTTTTTGTGGCTCATTAATGTGTCGTGACAGATTGCTGTAGACTAGAGCATCAGTTAAAGCTGCTCGCGATCCGATCATCTCTTCTTTCTAGTTCATTTATAGCATCAAATAAACATGAGTGAACATAAGAACGAATGTTGTTTTAACCGCGGAAACGCGTCAGTAGCCTACCTCCGTTTTTCAAGTTCAAATCCTCTATCTCTCCTGACTGCTTTGTCGGACAAAATGGAGGATGGCGAAGTATGATTAATAAGATTACCTGTCAATCAAGCTCTACGCGAAGGGTCAATTACGATTTTTTCCTTGTCACATAGCGGAAATAACCCATGAACGTATGCAGGAAAAAGATACTTATCTTATGGATTCTGAATATTAATTCTTTATATGGATTCTTTATAATATCTGAATATGGATTCCAATATTCTCAGGTCAGTTTCAGGGCTCATTCATATGTGGAAATAGATCTGATATGAGTCGTAGCATATGCTTTGACTGATCAGATATTCCTGTCAATGCGAATTGCACCCCAGATAGCAAACTGACATTGAATCAACGTGGAAACAACGTCTCTCATGATGACATTAAAACAACGTTGATTTTGCTCATCGAATTAACGTTGAACCAACGTCAGACGCGGCATTCTTCAAAGCTAAATGAAAATCGAAAATTGGTTTGCTTTCATAACGTTGAAACAACGCGTTGATTTCAAGTTGATTTTCCGTTAGTTTTGAAAGAATGACGCGTCTGACGTTGGTTCAACGTTAATTCGATGAGCAAAACAATGTCAGATCATTGTTGTTTCGATGTCATATTTCCACGTTGATTCAATGTCAGTTTGCTATCTGGGACACGTCATTGAAAAAGCGATTTCGAATGACGTGAACTCAGGTGGACACCACCAACCGCGCGCTCTCCTCTTTTCTTTCTCCGCCGACCAATGCTTTCCTGATCTTTGAAGATGGTGCAGAAAGCAAAGGCTTGTTTTATCATTTCATCTGTGTCCATTGCAAATCATGTTATTTTTACTTCCTTTTCGGCCTAAGCATTTCAGTATGTCTAACTTGGGATGTTTCACTAAGTCTATAGTGGAAATGCAGATATCGGATATGGATCACTTTTAAAAGAAAATATATAATCTGGTTGTCTAAAAAAAATGTAGTCTACAAATCGGAATTTGGCACCAAGACCTGCAGTATAAATGTGACCTAAGTCTCATGCAATTGCACTGTTTCTTCCCTGTAAAACATGTGTGCATGAATGAAGCTGCATCGTTTGCTAGAAACGTATTCTGTCATCATCTTCACACCCTCAAAACTCCTGTGGTGTGTGTGTGTGGCTGTGTGTGTGTGTGTGCTGGCGGGATTTCAACATGGCATTAAAAGTTATATGCAAATATGAGTACATATCCACACATGCTCTGTGTAAGCTGTTTGTGCTAGCCTATTTACCATCCAACATCGTATCAGAACAGGTTTTTCCCCTTGCCTTTAGTGTTTTTCCCCACAGTTGTAAATAATACGTGCTTCAACACATTCAGAATATCATAAATAGCTTTTTCTTTTTTTACATATACATGTTTGGCAGATGCTTTTATCCAAAGTCATTTACTGTGGAAATTGAACTCATGACCTTGATGTTTGCAGTGAATCAGTTACAAAACAGCCACTAACAAAAAGAAAGCACCACATTCATCATTTACAACAATCCCAGAATGCATTAGAGGTAAAATATCCATCTAAGATTTTGATCTTATAGTGTGATGATTTATTTCTGAGCAATTCTTTTGTGATCATTTCATGAAGGGTGTTGGTCATCTTTTTCCATTTCGCAATTATGTCATGCATAGGGATTTTTTTATCAACATTTTTGCACGTTAAAAAATGAATGCTTCTACACGGCCTCCGAAACCTTCGTCCATCACAAAAAAAATCGAATCGGGTTCGATTTTCTGCGTTTTTCGCATCCGGAGCAAGCAGTTTATATGGTGTTTTGACAATTCAGAGCCACTAAATCACGAATACGAAAAAATGCATATG